AAAAAAAAAAAGCCGCATATCGAGACAATATCGTCAGGCAAGGTTAAAAAACGCACCCATCCTGTGACTCAGCCTATTAAGGACGAGAGCGACGCTTCTTCAGACGAATCATATGTGGGGGACATGGACGGTGATTTGGGAGGTGAGGATGAAGAGAAGCAGGTCGTTGAAGCGGTGAAAGATCCAAATGGTAGTTTTTGAGTTCACATGCTCTATCATTGTTAATGAGTTTTGTTTTAGCGTCGCGCGAGTCCCATAAGGCACAAAGAGCTTTATTGGAGCAACGTCGTGCAGCAAAACCCCACTCCGAGCTTCTTGCCGAAGCCAAAAGGGCATGGCGACTCGCCCATCAGAAAAGCATATCAAAAGCCGAGCGCATGGAGCACATCCATGCACTCATGAACGTCATCCGTGGAAATGTGAAAGATATTGTCTTCAAGCACGACGCAAGCAGGATCGTACAGACGATAGTGCGATACGGAGGAGAGAAGGAGCGGAATGAGGTTGCGGCGGAGCTGCAAGGACATTACAAGGAACTCGCGCAAAGCAAGTATTCTAAGGTGCGTTCAAGAAAGCCTCTGGGACGTCGAAGAGATTTGTCCTGATTCATACCATCTGGAAGTTCCTCGTCTCGAAGCTAATCCGATTATGCCCCTCGCGCCGAGCCGCTATTTTACGGGAATTCCACGGACATGTTCTACGGTTACTCCTACATAGGGAAGCGTCGAGCGTACTTGCTGATGCATTTGAGCTGCACGCAAACGCATATGAGAGGTCACTTCTCCTGCGAGATTTTTACGGCAAGGAAGCCAGTCTGTTCACGGTAACAGCTGGGAGCGAGGGCGAGAAGGAGCGTTCAAAAATGGGTTTTAAGGGCCTGTTTGACAGTGCAGAAGGCGAACGGAGAAAAAGGCTCATGATGACCCTCAAGGACAACTTGGTGAGGATGTGAGTAGTCATGTTCCGTATGAAATTCATCCATTAACGTGATATTATAGACTCAATAATCCTGACAAGGGTGCTGTGTCTCATGCAATTGTCCATCGTGCCCTTTGGGAGTACCTCTCCGCGATAAACGACGTACAGGACGAAGGGGAACAAGAAAAGCTCCGAAGAGAGATTTTCGACGGGTTAGAACTTAGTTCTTATACGCTTGGTTCTTAGTACTAATGCCGGTCAAGTTGTCAAGAGGTCTTGGCTGAAATGGTACACACGAAAGACGGAAGCCTGGTTGTCAGAGAATTCATTGCGTATGGCACAGCAAAAGTAAGTGAGATTTGACCAGTCGAGAGTGCGGTCTCGAGACCTTGTCTTGGACAGGACCGAAAGCAAATAATCAAAACCATCAAGCCGCATGTAGAACGCATGTGCCAAGATGACGAAGCCCAGCTTGTGCTCTTCACTGCTCTCGACGTCATTGAGTATGATTCACTCATCTTCCAACTTCTGCACAGCATGCTGAAATCTATGCGCAGCGACACGAAACTTACCGCTAAATCCCTCGTCGCGGACATAGCTTCCGCTGCGTCCTCCTTACATGCATCACCCCAAGGACGGCGGTCTCTCCTTTATCTGGTGGCGCCGCGAACAAAACGCCATTTCATGCCTGCCCAGGTAATGTGCTGTCGTTTGAAACTGTGCGTATATCTGACATGGCCTCTTTTACACAATAGATTGCGACATTAGCAGAGACAGATCTTGTTCGCTCGCGGACAAGTAAAAAGGATGGCGCGGTGCGCAGCGCGGAAATAAATCGGGCTGCTAGCGATTTACTCTTGCAGTGGGTTGCTGATAATGGCGCACAAGTGTCAAAAGACACAGGCGGATCTCTAGTTGTATGCGAGATCATGCTGTATGCTGAGGGTGGTAAGAAACGATTCTTTCGAGGCTCTGATACGGCCTCACCCTCGGTCACTCACTGAAAACAGATAAATCCGCTGCATCGGACGCACTACTACAAGCCCTGAATGTACCTTCCAGCGCCGCGTCGCCACATCCCATCTCACTTCCACATACATCTCGCCTTTACAAGATGCTCCTGCAGGGCGGACACTACTCACAAGTAATGGGAGCTATCGAACCCGCCCCATTGTGGTCCGCCCGCGCCTTCGCCTTGCGCTTCATGCAACTTGTTGATCGCGATACCGCGCTAGAAATGGCCCGGGGGGAGGGCGCGTTTGTAATAAACGCGCTATGTGAACAATTGGCCAGCGGAGAGGAGTGCGAAGAGAGGAACACATTCAAGAACTGGTTTGGGAAGAGTATACGGAAGGAGATCAAAGAATCCGCAGGGAAGGGTTCTGCGGTATTGTTGCAGAGCCTGGAGACGCTTGGATGACTGATGCAGTGAAAATTTAGTACTGATTGCAGCATATTCTTAGGGTTGTATCATGTTGGATTATGTTTGTCTTTCAGCTGCATGATATCCGCAAGCTCATTGTCGATTTTCTTCTCTATTCGGGGACAGTCTCAGGGCATGCCCCATAACGTCTCTCCTGGTGTCCGATCAACCAATCGTTCACATTTTCAGCAAGATTTGGAGGAAGATAAAAGTCAAGAGGCAATTTTTTTGGACTGTGGCTGACTTTCAGTCAATTCATGGTCCTGTGACATGGAAGCTTGGTCTTCAGTACGGTGAAAGGTAGACTTTGCTCACGAGTACACCTTCAGGTTGTAGAATCTCGGTCATCGAAGAAACCCATTTGACTGGTTCTCATTGCTGCTTTGGTCACAGGTAAGTTTGGATCCGGTGTTCGGCGCGTAGATTTGCTGTCTTAGTCAATGTTGAATCAGCATTGTAAAATGATTTACGTTTCATGTCGCCTGGATATTCAGCACGCCCTGCACGAGATCAGCGAGTGCAGCGAGAAGAGTACCGGCGCCGGCCTGGAAATACCTCCGACCTTTCTCTAGCCGACCTTGGACAAATTGGGATAAACCTTCGCAGACGTGAATTATCTCGCTGATCATCTGGTGACAGCTTTTACTCATCCTGACAAACCCAGTAGAAGCCTAGTTCGAACGCCTGGTCGAGTACAACCAGTCTACATAAATCCGCATCGTGCAGGTTTCTCGATACAAACTCCTCAGCTCGACGCACATTCGCGTCCGTCATTGTATCTACCTAATCATGTCGTCCAGCGTCGTACCTAAGCTCTTCCAGCCCGTTCAAGTTGGGGAATTTACGCTCGCCCACCGTGTCGTACTCGCTCCACTCACTCGTTTCCGTGCGAACAAAGATTATGTCCACGGCGATCTCGCAGTGGAGTACTACTCCCAACGAGCATCAGTTCCCGGTACTTTGCTAATCACCGAGGCTACTTTGATCTCAGCCAAAGCTGGTGGCTTTTCTTACGTCCCGGGCATCTGGAACAATGAGCAGGTCGCTGCATGGAGAAGAGTAGGTCCGCTTACCACTCAGAGGCTTTGTTCCTGTACTCATTTCCTTGCGAATAGATCACAAAAGCAGTTCATGCGAAAGGGTCACGTATTTTCTGTCAGTTATGGGCATTGGGCCGTGCCGCACATCCCGACGTACTCAAAGCCGATGATCCTTCCTACGAACTTGTTTCCGCGTCTAATCTCCCACTCCCCAAGGGCTCGACTCCCCGTGCACTGACCATCTCCGGTAATTCAACGACGACGAACATTTCAGACGTATGCTTACATGAACATGATTGTCCGTAGAGATCGAAGAATACGTCCAGATGTTCACATCTGCTGCACAGAACGCTATGCGTGCAGGCTTTGACGGGATCGAGCTTCACGGCGCCAACGGGTATCTCATCGACCAGTTTCTCCAGGATGTCAGCAACAATCGCACTGACATGTATGGGGGATCGGTGGAGAATCGTGCCCGGTTTGTTCTCGAAGTCATCGACTCGATTGCCAGAGCCATCGGTGCCAGTCGCGTCGCCATTCGTATCAGTCCATGGAGCCATTATCAAGGTCTTGCTCTCTACATGCGCTGACACAAATATGATCTCATCAACTAATTTTTTCGTAGATATGCGTATGCGAGACCCGAAGCCGACATTCGCCTATCTTGTCTCCCGCCTTGCCTCGACCCACACCGACCTTGCATACATCCATGTCATCGAACCACGAATTGAAGAGCACGAACCGGAGCCTGGCGAGGTAAGTCTTCCTACATCTTTCCTGTGAATGTCTTAAGCGGACATATCCGTCTTTTATCTACTTGCTAGTCCAACGACTTCCTGCGGGAAATTTGGGCGCCTCGTGCCTATATCAGCGCGGGTGGATACAAACGACAGCTTGCTTTCATGGATGCAGAAAAAACTGGAGATCTTATCGCATTTGGACGACTGTTCCTCGCTAATGTATGTAACTTGATTCCTCTGCTTTCTTGAACTATTTGGTCTGACATGTCTGTTCAAGCCGGACCTCCCAACCCGCATTGCCAAAGACCTGCCCCTCAACATCGGCAATCGCGACACGTACTACTATGTTGCGGAGACTGCAAAGGGATATACTGACTATCCGCTCTCGGATGACCCTCGAGCTGCCATCTAACAACTCTGGAGCTTCCTATTGCTTCAGGACGTCTTGGACTGCCGACCACGTCCGGGAGTATCGGACGTACATTGTTTTGATCAATGTATGTAGATCTCGATAAATACAATTGATGCGGTAATGCGGATTGATCCGCTCATCCTGTGCCTTGGTCGTCGGCCAAATACGAAGGAAATTCTGATTTCCTCATAAAGCAGTAGCAGAATGGCGAATGGTTGTGTGTGTATACACTGCTTGCGCTGTGACATATATCTCTGAGTCAAGCATTACTAATTGTTCAGAAAGGTCAAAGCTAAGGCTATGGCTATAGATGTAAGTGCTCATATTACGACCCCCATGATCATGTACCCGATTTGAATGCTAAGTAACCGTATGTAGCCATCGGTGCCTGTCAAGGATATGAATATTGTACAGCGATAGGAGATTTATTTGGCAATCCGAGAGACCACGGACTGTGAAGTTTGTATGTAAAGTGTAAATCATTGCGAATTTTGTGCAAATTGAAGAAGTTATCAAGCTTGTGACCGTTCGCATGTAGATGATAGGCCCATTACCGTTAGTCTTTCTGCTGAATACATTGGTTTCAGAATTGACATCGGCGTGGCACTGCCCATTTGGTGCAGTATGAAACAAGACGAGGGCGAAAAGAAATTTCCTGGCACTGACCTCAATTTTTGCAGAGGACCCCGAGAACCGGGGTGTGTGTGTGTCGGCAGGTCTCGGCCCGCGACCCAAGCGCGCTGCATCACCGGGAGAGGATAACACAATTGCGATACGACGTAAAATATATAATTTCACCCTGTTGAGTACGTTTAGAACGCCCATTTGATGCTAGCACCGCTCGCTTGCTGCCAGTGCTTGCGCCATCTTCGATTCCATCGACTGAATATCATGGACGCTTGGTGCGAATATGCTCAATCATGTTGTACTTCCAAATTGCGGTCCGCGTTCCTTGGATGCGAGTCTTGTCCTGGAATTGTGGCAGTCAGCACAAGATTGCAACGTCAGTACATGGGATCATGCTTGTTGGCGAACGGTGTAACTGTTACCACTGCGATGCGACCGACGCGTTGCGTCATTACACGTGACAGATAGTATCATTCTTCGTGACTTTACGATCTGCTGCTTTGTATTTTAACCACAGCCCCATGTCGAGAAAAAAATAAGTTCATATACCATGAACACGTACAATTTTCAGTGCGTATTTTGAGTTCTAGAGCGCAACGTTAGAGCAGAGAAGAATTTGGTAGAATCACGCCAAATTTCGCGTTGGTGGCCCCCGACCACCGGTTCCCCCCACATCAAATAAGGTCGGTGTCCCCGATTCAAATCGCGCCCCTCAGCTTGGTGTGAAAGCAGAAATATATATATGCAGGTCCCGAAGCTCAGAATTTTCACTCTCGCCAGCTCTGCGCAAAGTGCTGGTGGTCATTAAGCAGAGGCTCTTGTCAGATTCTATCTGTGGTATAAGACATGTGTTGAAATCTGCAGATCTTCTAAGAGATCTGTTGGCATCGATGAAAATGCAAAGACTCGTAAAAATTCCGACAGAGCATTAGTAAGTTAGTTCAGCCCTTACTAAGACTGGAAAGCTTTTCAAGATAGCATAAATTCACACAGTGGAACACCGTGAACAGAAATCACCCCGCTCCCGATCGTTAGCCAAGCTGTTCCGTGCGCCCAATGTCTTCAGCGAGCGTTGTACCCAAACTCTTCCAGCCCATTCGAGTTGGCGACTTCACCCTCTCCCACCGTATCGTGCTCGCGCCTCTCACTCGTTATCGCGCGCACAAGAATCACGTCCATAGTGATCTGGCCATCGAATATTACGCGCAACGAGCTTCTGTCCCCGGGACACTGCTGGTGACGGAGGCAACTTTCATTTCAGAAAAGGCGGGGGGATACAACAACGTCCCTGGTATCTGGAACGATGAGCAGGTGACTGCTTGGAAGCGAGTAAGTTTCCTGGCATTAGACGATCTTCATGGGTTTCGTGGACAGAATCGCATATTCGTGTCGTTTTTGGAAAGGATCAGCTCTGATTATAATTGATAGATTACAGATGCCATCCATGAAAAGGGATCTCGTGTGTTCTGCCAGCTTTGGGCTTTGGGTCGTGCAGCAAATCCAGATGTGCTCAGAGCTGAGGGTCCCCATGATCTTGTATCCGCTTCGGATATCGCGCTAGCTGGGCACCAGCCTCCCCGTCCCTTGACCATTGCTGGTACGTCATCTATACGCAGCGCTGATATGATCCGCACCCTGACCTAGAACATCAAACGCAGAAATTAAGGAGTACCTGGAGACGTATGCCACGGCCGCACGGAATGCTGTCCGCGCCGGTTTCGATGGTGTCGAGATACACAGCGCAAACGGATACCTTCTTGATCAGTTCCTCCAGGACGTCAGCAATAAGCGTACAGACGAGTATGGCGGGTCAATCGAGAACCGAACTCGCTTTGCGCTGGAGGTTGTTGACGCGATTTCCAAAGCCATTGGAGCTCCCCGGGTTGGCATCAGGATCAGCCCATGGGGACAATTCCAAGGTTTTCATAGCTTCATTGACTTGCGGCGTTTGTGGCGAAATGCTGACGAGTGTTTTAGATATGGGCATGGTCGACCCAAGACCAACTTTCAGTCATCTTGTTCGAAGCATAGCACAGCTACATCCTAATTTTGCGTACCTACATCTTGTGGAGCCGCGTGCGCACGGGAACCTGGATCGTGAGGTCCAGGAAGGAGAGGTGCGCCCTTGGTTCCTAGCTTCGCCTTTTTGCCTTCTGATTTTGGTCAAACATAGTCTAATGATTTCCTTCGGGAGATCTGGTCGCCTCGCCCGTTTATGAGCGCAGGAGGCTACACGCGTGCTCTTGCATTTGAGCAATCTGAGCTATCGGGAGATTTGATCGCTTTCGGACGTACATTCATTTCCAACGTAAATTTCTTCCACCTGACACAATCTCAACACTGACTCTTGTACTAACTTTTCTTAGCCTGACCTTCCTACCCGCCTCGCGAAAGATTTACCCCTCGCGCGTGGTGATCGCGATACGTATTATATCCCAGAGACGCCAAAAGGATTCATCGACTACCCGTTCTCGGATGATCCCCGCGCTAGCCTCTGAAGTCGGTCCCAGAGCAAATAGTCATGACCTTTTGAGGGTTTAGACGCCTTTCTTGTCCATTAGAGCCACTACACCAGATCACGAAACTGGGGGGTTGAAACCATGTTCGATCGGCGTATCTATATAGATCCTAGATGAAGATTACTGTACAGATGTAACTTGGAATAAGATCCAGCGGCGTACTCTACAGCGAGCACTCAGCAGAGACTGTCGACTCGACGTTGGCAGCAGCATTTTAAAGCAAGTTTCAGTGAGATGAGGAGACTCAGGAATGTTGGAACAAGCATGCTCAGAGGATGGACATGGTAGTATTCACCGGGAGAGGATGCGCAACGCGGCCATGATCGTGAGCATTAGCAGCCACCGAGAAAGACGCCCAGCCGACTTGTCAAAGCACAGTTGAAAGAGCCAATTCCTGTAGTATTGAAGCCACACGTGAACTTATTCAGCACCCGCTATTCAGAGGATTCTCCGCACAAATTGAGGAGGAGCGTGCAGTTCCTTGAACGTAATAGTTATCAAATCCGACCTCCCGAGTCAACAAGGCAATACTATTAGGCTTCGAGGCAGAGCGCTGTGATGTGGGTACTTCCGATCCCTACGAATCGTTCCGGCAATCTACGCGTTCTCCTAGAGCCGATGCACATGTACATGACCTCTCCTTGACGATATATAACAAGAATCATATCAAAATTTGGTTGAGGGGTAAATATTAGCGGGCCACATGCCTGCACACACTGACCAAACGAACAGTACGCCCTATGTCAAGCTGGCCAGCGAATGATTATCATTGGGAATCCGAGAGCATCCTTTAGAGCGCTTAGCCTAGTCAGTGCGAAGTCGGCCTTAGAGTATAACGCAAGCTTACACATTCTTAGTGAAATCCGATACCACCGGGGTTCACGTTCGGGCTCAGGTCAGACTCATGAATCACAGCGCGTCTTCTACCGTACCCGAGTTGCGTAGCGATGATTAGCGACCGTACTGTCAAGCAAAGTCTCAGGGATTCCAATTAGTACGATCATGCATTGATACGATGGGACCGAATTGGACCTCAGGGAGTCATCCTATGTAACCTGGATGTGCGCAGCTATCTGACCAATCATGAAGGCGATGTGGGCATATAAGTTTGCGACGTAAAGGTCCTCGCCCTGAAGTAATTCTTCCAACCCCGACACAGACATAGACCAAATCCGCTATCTGAGACTCACAACATATGTCGACTCCAATACCTAAACTCTTTCAGCCCCTCCGCGTCGGCAACTTCACACTTTCACACCGTGTTGTGCTTGCGCCGCTCACCCGGACTCGTGCCAACAAGGATCATGTCCACGGTGACCTTGCAGTTGAATATTATTCCCAGCGGGCCTCGGTTCCAGGTACACTGCTGATCACCGAAGCGACCTTCATTGCAGCCAAAGCAGGAGGCTTTCCTCATGTTCCCGGAATTTGGAATGATGAGCAAGTGATTGCTTGGAAAAAGGTATGTCCTACCAGCATTTGCGTTCGTACATCGTCACAATGTGGGATCTGTAACTGAAGTCAACTGGCTTGATAAGATGATCACCTCATATGTCGTTCCTCTTACGGAGCCCTGTGCTGACAGCTGATTGATAGGTTACTGATGCTGTACACGAGAAGGGGTCACGTATCTTCTGCCAGCTCTGGGCCCTGGGCCGTGCGGCAAACGCAGACGTCCTCAAAGCAGAAGACCCGTCTTACGACGTCGTATCAGCTTCCAACATCCCGTTCGTAGGCGGCGCCACGCCCCGCGCCCTGTCTATTTCTGGTTTGTCCATTGCCCACTGAAGCCATCAGGGGACTTACGTGGCATCAACCACATCCAGAGATCAAAGAATACGTCCAGCTGTACACAACTGCTGCGAAAAATGCTATTCGGGCAGGCTTCGATGGCGTTGAGGTACATGGAGCGAACGGGTACCTCATCGACCAATTCCTGCAGGATGTTAGTAACAAGCGGACTGACGAATATGGTGGCTCTGTCGAGAACCGAGCACGCTTTGCCCTTGAAGTCATTGATTCTGTCATTAAGGCAATCGGTCAGGAGCGAGTTGGTCTCAGGGTCAGTCCATGGGGAATTTTGCAAGGTCAATTTTTATTCCCCCTCGAATAAGGAGTAACAGGAACTCACCGCTGAAGCAGGCATGTGCATGAATGATCCTAAGCCAACATTTGCATATCTCGTATCTCGCGTGGCCGAGTTGTATACTGGCTTCGCATACGTCCATACAGTCGAGCCGCGCACACAGGGTGAGGCTTTCCGTGAACATGGACCAGAAGAGGTGTGTGAACGTTACAGCATCAGAGATCCGCAGATGCTCATCCCAAATCCTAGTCAAATGACTTCCTGCGCGACATATGGGCCCCTCGTCCTTTTATTACCGCAGGAGGATATACGAGAGAGCTTGCATTGGAGCAGTCTGAGAAGTCTGGAAATCTCATCGCGTTCGGGCGTATCTTCATCTCGAATGTATGTTTTCCTCCATGGTGGCCAAGTGGTATGTAGCACTGATGTTTTGAAACAGCCCGATTTGCCACTTCGTCTTGCCAAGGACTTGACCCTAACCGTCGGTAATCGAGAGACGTACTATGTTCCAGAGATCGCGCATGGATACACCGACTACCCGTTCTCGGATGATCCTCGGGCCTTCCTCTGACACTCCTGGTTGCACTGACCAACGGAGCTCACTCGTCGACAGAGTTCAAGCGATTAGCGACTTGAGGGGACTGGATTAGAGGATGGGGATGCGGGACTGAGAATAGATCATAGTGTAATACAAAATACTCAAACGATTTGAGAATCTTGAGATATAACTTTTTTTGTAAATTATGGCGCCTCCAGCACCCCGGCGCTGCGTCAATCGCCCATATTTGGCAGATGATATACCATATATGACCGATCACAAGGACCATGATGGCCCTCGAGAATTCCCATGACGTGTATTATCATAAACATAAAATTTGCATAGGTAGCATATATGACATAGAAAGCTGCGGGTGAACATGGTGTCATGTCTGAAGACATTTATATAGTGAACAGTCTATTGAATGCGATTGAACAGCCGGCGGTTGTGTGCGATTGAGGCATGTCAGAATGTTTGCACTCGCCACCTCCATATCTTACCGACGCTTCTTCGTCGGACTCTTGCTTGACCTTGCCGTCCCTGTGGTCTGTTTGATGGGGGATACGGGAGTAGGGATTTTGGCCGTAGTTCTTGCCTTTGACGGCGACGAGGATGATCCCGCAGTCGTCGGCTCAATGGGCTCGTCATCGTCAACTTCATCTATAGACGACATCGTTAACGATCTACGAGCAATCCTCTCGCTGCGCCGTATAGGCTGTAATTCGCCCTTCTCTTTGCGAGTACGATGGCTCTTCGGAGAAGGGACATCCTCTTCGCGCTCACTTGGGGACCAAGATCGTTCGTGTAGGAGCATCCAGCCTTCTTGAGCAGCACCACGATCCTCGATTGAATCCAACAAATCTTCTCTATCATACCCGTTTTGTCAGCTAGCAAAACAGAATGTCGGAACTTTGCTTCAAAGACTCACACAATGTCATGAATGCCATTTCTATTCAATGAGCCAGCGACACTAGGAGTCGGGGACCTTCCACTTTCATAAAACGCACGAGCCCGTCGGCCACTCTCTCGAATTTCCGACCTATTAATGCTGTTGTCTCAACAAGTGACAATGTATAGCTATAATACGTACCATGCCCTGGCTATCTGCTGTGGCATCTGTTGCTGGACGGCTTCTGCTTCTTGTTCCGGCCATTCAGACAAGCTGCAGTCCGATAATGAGACCTCTTCTCCATAGCGCAAGTTGATACACCTACTCGAGGTACCTAGAACATGAAGATCCTTCCGTAATTGTACGAGATCTAACCGAAGGAGCTGGAGACCTATGGCAAAACGAATAGTGAGACAAACTTGTACAGTTGGCCGATAAAAGGTCCATACTCACCCAACTCGAGAAGACGACGTTGCCATGTTGTCTTGATAGAGATCAGGGTATTGAGATAGTCGAAGTTGGAGAGCCATTCCGACAATCTTTTATATATAAAAAACATGCCACACATCCACAGACATGCAGTAGACATTATGCCTCCCGGCGTACGTATGTCGTTTCATTTTTGGGGTGGATGTGGCCGTCCCGGAGAATAGCACAAAGGAATAATCTCAGCCCGGTTCCGATTCAGGGCACGTACGGGGATCGTGTCAGCACAAAGCCCGCTGGTATCGAAGGGAACTGAAGAAGTGGTGGAGAATGTGGCTTTGACAAAGGATCAACCACGATCTACCCGCACACAGATCGGGCGCACATCAGCGAATGCCTGATAATCGTGGGTTAAAAGAAAAGTGTTCAGCAAAGCACACGGACCTCCATACGACTCCGGTTGATGCGGTCGGCTTAAACACCGTCAAAAAGGCCATAGCCACACTCTTTCGTTGTAGAGTGTGGCTGCGTTGTATGAAGTGCACAGCGGCCTTTGCCATCGTTGGCGCATTCCACAGATCACAAATCCTCCTTCACAGCCACGACACACCCTAAGCTCTTACACCACCCTTGTCGCCGCTCGCCGATGTCTCTCACCTTCCTCTTGCTCTCCATTGAGCTTCATTCTCGCCAGGATTCTCCCCAAGCACAGCACATTCCCCCCATGCCCTCATACAAGCTATATGACCTGTCAGCGACGCACACCTTCCCATTACGCTCAAGCGCCTGATAATCTGTAGCCAAATATGCAAGGTGCACCCCACGCGAGAACCAGTGCTTACGCTGGTTTGAGAGACATCTGTGAGGCCATATGTGGAACACTGATATCCTCAAACAAAGTGCGAGCGGACCTGGACACAAGATTCAGCCCCGGGATCAGGGGCGACAATTTCCAGTCCATCAAGACGGGTTCTACATGTTGTGTTGATTCCTTCACCGAGCAGATTACAGACCTGATAGTTCAATGCACGCCCCCGACATCCACGTTGGTTGCCCGCGCACACGCTGGACATTTGTAATAAACGTGTTCTGTAAGTCATTCTTGACAGATTATGGATCGAGCGGAGGCTGATTCGTATGCGGAATATACCAAGTTTTTGACACGTTATACGTCGAGTTGAGAGAGGGCAGCCTCGACGCGTTCACTGACGGAGCCCTAGTGAGTCTGAGATTGCTAGCGCTAGTGCACTACTTACCTTGGAGTTTCGGACGTTAACTCACACTCCACAACGAAGTTGGTAAGTAATACCGTGACTCCTGTAGCATGGCGAGCTTTGTTCGTGGTGAGAAAGTATCCTTTGACCGATCTTCCTGGTTCAATGATTGAGTGGCCGTATACTTGGAAAGTCGAACCAACTAATGACACGGTGAGTATCTTCAACTTGCATTCTGAGCCAAGGGACTGTCGCAGTACGATGTTGCAAGTAGCGTCGACTATAGTCGCCGCTTTCACTGAGACTTAAAGCGCCTACGCGCTTCCCGCAGCCACACTGACACGGCGCGTCCAAATTCGACTTTCGGCCGCCTCGTCGACATCCTCATCTAATGATGGCTGTGGCCAAGCTCTTCAGTGTTCGGCTCGATAATCTACTGGTGCTGATTGACAAGCAGCTCATATATATACGCCCTGCTATAATTCGATCAAACATGACTTGCTCATGATGAGCTGTCTTCAGCATATTCATTGGCCCCAGGCTTCCTTCGGGCTAGATCTGAATTAGCCCAAATACGAGAAACCTAAGCTGGCTTTGATGTACAATATTTGGCGTAAGATGTTTTTGGTCATGTACCAGCTCCTGTACATTGCGCTGATTTACGCGTTCTGGAATTGGAATGCCTGCGGAGGATTAAGAGGACGACCGTCCGCAATACACTCCGAAGATCGTTCATAAAAGGCTGCCCAAGAAAACTATTGGAGAGTTAACTGCCATGTTGTCGCTTTCAATCATACTGGGTTGTGCATTCCATGGCCAATGTCTCAAGTTCTCTCTGGGCTGGACACTTGGTGATAACTCTTGATAGCCTACTCATCGAGAACACACTAATGTCAGGTCAAGTTCAACTTGAGGAACTCCAAAATCGGCTGTCTACCTAGTGCGTTTCTTCCTACCATCTCGCTCTTCCTCGTTTATACCTATACATATATGCATGTAAACTTTCCTAACGCGCATAATGAGGATTATTTTATATCTTCGGCACGCTTTCCACAAAGCGTACACACCCTATCATAATGCCTGCAAATGCCAAGGGTGTCCCAGAAGCACGCGACGCCTCAGGCCTTCAGGCCTCAGAACCCCCTCCTGTTCACTCGAACCTCTTCCTAAATGCCACACGAATGTCATTACTGACTTCTATTCAGCACGTCTTTCAACAGATGGGTCTAACGAACCCAAGAAGTCATACTTCCATGTTATCCAGACATTTGGATACAATTCCTAGGTACTTCAGCGCACGTGAACCAAGGTGGTGGTCTTAACATTGCGGGTGAAGCAGGCAAAGATGTCAGAGTTAAGAACGCAGGATAGACGGTTGCGGAGATATTAATGTTCGATGTGGAACGGGATATCACTTATTCTACGTGGTTACGCTGTATCTATGCAAGAATTTGGTGTTGCTGTTCGAGGCGACTCTCATGTTACATGAGTCCATAAGCGTCCGCCTTCTTCCTTGATGCCAAAGTGGAGTTGTTCAAGTGCGGCTGTCACAATTGCCGGCGAACAGGTCGGGGCTGCCTTAATTGGCTCTTTGGAGGTGTTGGACATTACTTGCCGCATTGCATGACTGCAGAAGACCATCTGCTTTGGTGAAGGGTAAACCTTGTCCTGGGAGTGCCTCATGGCTGACACTGCTTGTCAAAAAACTGCAGCATCGAACAGTTGACGTCACTCAGCCCATGCTTCATGTAAAAGAGAATTTGAGCCTGCTGGAGCAAACGATGAGCAGGGATGTGATATGCTGGAGTACGAATGGCTCCTTGCGATATTGCGCATAATGAGTACACCCTATTCTGGGCGGCCACGGCCCTATATCATGGAGCATCAATCTCACCATGTTCAGGGTCTATGCAGTAGAATCTTAGCATCAGCGTATGGCTCTGCAATTCACTACCAGATTGAGCATAGAATGATTCTTATTCCAAAGTCTATTCACAGGCTTTTTGCTTGTGTGGAGTGAGGTTCTGCGGCCGATGACAGCATTCTTGCCTACAGAGGTTGTACAACCTGTCAGACATTGTAGTGACGTGGGCATCAATCTGGCATCACACCTATCATAATTACTTACACTGGATACACGTACGCAAGCTGATGCATTCGGAGACATGTGGACCATAGACCCTGGGTTGGCGCTAGCTGCTGCCAGGAATTATGCCAATCTATCGTCCGCACAAATACCGGTCGAATGAGTATCGAGAAAGCGGGTTCTCTTGGATGCAATGGAGCGTTTACTACTGTAACAACACTAGGTAATCTCAGAGCCCGGTGCGCTGGCGCGCCGCCAGGCCGTTCACATATAGCAAACGCTGTAACATCTAAGTCAATACTACCGACCCGAGGCTTACGGATGTTACAGCGTGTTGAGAAGAACGGAGTTGGGCAACCCGAGGGCATCCGGGAGACCCAGCCACAGCCAGGCGGATACAACGCGGACACGCCTAGTTAGGTAGTCAGCCAAGGCGGATCCAAACGCATGTATACTCAAGACGTCTACGTACAAGCTCCTAGAATTAATTCGTCCTCTGCCTCTCTTGCTCGAACCCTCACCGTCTCTCGCAACACAGCGTTTACTACAGCGTTTGCTATATCACCGAGAGCAGAGAGGTCTCTCCACAGGCATAATTCGGTATCCATTTTGTCACCTTAGAATAGGGATTGGATGCATGACGTCGTGGGCTTTTCTGTGCATTTGCCTCATCCTACCTATAGCCGCGAACGCAATTTCGCATCGGTCTCCTTCATATCCACGATTCGTCGTCATTAGATAGTACGCAGCTGTTTTGGGGGTATGTGTTGCCTAAACAGGAAACAAGCGCCCGTAGCTGTCGCATTGACTTCACAAAGATCGAATTGTGAAGTTAGTATGCCAAGATTTCACGCGAATATATATATGCAGCACTAATATAATGAATATAATGGTCCATTTAAAATATATTTCCAACCAACAGGAGCATTGTCGGCCGTGAAACAGTCTCCATATCGCGCCAGGTCTAGCGTCAGCGCCTGGCGCACGTCGAGTGAAAACCCTGCGGGTTCCGACAAGGGTTTATTCGGCTGATTATTGCGATTCGACCGTTGTTTGATCGAATCACTAGAGTGCCTCTCCAAGCAGGCATGGTCGACTCTGTTCTGTCTACTAAGTACCAGGTAAGGCCAGCGCATACGCGCAAGTCGCCTACTAAGTCTGCATCTCGAGCGCCGGTGGATGTTGATATGATATCTCCAGTAGTTACACCGCCCTGCACCACAACGCATGCCGGCAAGATCATTACAATTGAAGGGGCGCCTCAAACGCAGCGGAACCCTGACAAGTAGTAGGCTGTATAAACTAGCGCGCTCTGGCATGCGGCCCCTAACTTGACTTCGGCCTCACGCCAAACTAGGCTTCCGAGTTGATAGGAATGTAGTCGCTCCGCCCTGATCCCGGAGACACTCAGTACCAACAAACCATATCTCTATCTACCAAGATGTCTAGCGTCGGGAGACTCGATTCACAATAACGTGGGGCGTTCCGATACAACGGAAGCAGTTTGACGGTACGACGTCCTTCGCATGCAGTTTCCGATACCTCGGCATGGCATATGACCTTGTGCATCCAGCCGGGGCTATAGTATCAAAAAAAAAATAAGCCCATGGTCTTTTTGTGGCCGCTGCATGCGACATTTTGCTCGTCTAGACTACGATAAAATCTCGACGCGCAAGGAAAATGGAAGTCCAGAAAAGGTACATTCTAATGTCATAATATTTTGGCATAAGTCATAAGTAATGTTGCACAATGGTAGATAATATTGCAATAGCAAACTCTCGACTTCTGCCGCGGAATCGAACTATTTAAGTCGATTGAGACGTCTTGTGCGTTTTGCATGGCAAATTCTACGATATCGGCCAGTATGCATACTCATCTATCTCATGCGTTAAGAATCATAATGGATGCTGATATCTAGACAGGATGCCGCCGGGTCCAAGGGAAATCAGATCATGATGCCTTGCCATTCGAAATGCATCGCATGGAATCCCCAGGCCAGAAGGAAAACCGACAGACGCAGTATGCGACGATGACGCCCCTCTCTGATGACCTTTATCGCTGACAGGTAAGTATGCAGTGATGCCAACTTTGTATCGCCGTAGGTGTATCTGTCAAGGCCCCATCAGCGTCTCTAGCTATACAGTATAAAAGCCGTGCTGCAACTCATACCGTCTTCAGGTTTCGCTTGCCTCTTGAGCACTTCGACTTTCGCATCCTCCCTCAGATTTACAGCCCGCTTACAATGTTCAGCAAGGTCACCATCGCTCTCGTCGCTGCCGCCATGGCATTCGTGCAGGTCCGTGGCGAGTCCCATACTGTAACTTTCACCAACGAGTGAGCATTCTTGAGTCTACTTCATGTCAGTTCATTGATCACATAAACTTGTAGCTGTGGCTATGGAACTGTTTGTGCTTTGAGCTTCATGAGCATTCTGCCGCTGTCTTATTCGTTATATAGCCTTACTTGTGGGGGCCTGACGGCGTTCTCCTCTCCACTGGTAGTCCTTACACCAGTAATGGCCCTGCCGATGGTTTGATCGCGTGAGCTGAGATACAATTTGACTTTTGCAACGTGACTTACACGCTCCGTTTGAACTTCTGCAGTTACTTGCAGATTGGTATGCAAGCATCCACACTGTAATCCAGTGCTTTTGTACCACTCATTTTATACAGGCCCGTGTGGCAACAATGGTGAAAATTGCACTTTGGTCGAGGCATCGCTTAACAATGCTGGTGGAAGTAGTGCAGATATCTCGCTTATTCCTCCGTATGTATTTTTCTCTAATCAGAGCTATTTTGATTCATTTTATTCTAGGCACTCGTTCACTGTAGCGAGCGGGTTTGAGTGAGTCCCCGTACCCTCTCATCTTGAGTATTACACCGATGCATGGTGTTTCTAGCTATTACAATGGTTGCGATGGTCAAGGCACAGACTGTCAGTCGTTCTTTCCCTATCGCTTGTTAGCAGTATCTCATAATTCTCCTGACGTAGGCACTGATAACGACTGCCCCGACGCCTTCCGCGAGCCGAACCAGACCGGGTTTGAAGTTGTCTGCTTGGCCGCTAACGTGAGTGCTTCCCTCTTGACAAGTAGCCGAGTTGATCTAAGTGGGGCTGAATGCTCAGGTCGACCTGAACATCAAATTCTGCGACTGATTTGACCCAGATTGGAGGAGTGGTACATGGAGGCAGCAGAGTTCTATGTACATCGTGTCAGTACAAACTCAATGGTCCATAGTCACGAATGTGATCCCGTTGTTTCTAGGAAAGTAACGAACTCGACTCCTGTGATGTTATGCTGAAACTATCTGTTCTATGTCTGCTAATTTTTTGACACCATGTCTTCAAACAGCTACATTAAACGGAGACGCTACGGTATCTGTAACATTGTCTGATGTAATACTGCGTCTTGTTGTGACTCTTATTCCCTCCGCGCGATGCTTTTTTTTGCTCCTTTTATTGTCCTCAAGGGCCTGGCCCTGTGTAGGCAGAAAGGTATGGTAGATGTACTATCACTATGTGGTCGTTAGTGAAACAGAAACATCGGACGCGGCCTGGGGTACAGGGCGCGCATCGGGGCGTGTCTGTGGTACATTGGGTGGCCGAGAAATTAGCAAGAGGATGGGACACGAAGCGAGTGTGTGTAACTGTAGTACGCTACCGGTACTGGCGCGGCGAGCCTGCGGATTCAGGTCCTGGCGAGAGTCTAAGGCAAGGGACGCGGTTCTAGACCCCCCGCTGAAAGGCATGACGCCTTCTACGACAGAGTCACAGCTGGGGGTAAGCCGGCCAGTGGTCCTCCACTGCCCGTCAAAACTCCCCGCATCCCTGGGTCTTCCTCCGCCCGCGTCCAGCCCGTTTACGTGCGATGCTTGCGTGCTGGTTACATCTGTCTGCGTGTTGGATGAACGCGGGGCCAGGGAGGGAATGGGCGCGATCGCCGGACGGTCAGCTGAAGGGGGTTATCGTGCCAACTTTCATGCATTCATGCCGAGCAAGGTCGAGCCGCGCCGAGTTAGCGACGCTTCTCGAGTGCAAAAGTATCTTCGACAACACACGTACTGTGATACACGTAGGATGCCGTGTTGTTAAAACATAACACGATATCAAAGTAAAGGCAGGAAATCTCACAGGCCGAACACAAATATTCACTTCGGCACTTCAAAGTTGAGCATATACCGACTCTCAAACTGGTAGCGCTCGGCGACTTCGCGATGGATGCGGAAATTGGGACGTTTATCGAATGGGACTATGCCGACGTAAGTGAAAGTCTCTACCCCGATGCTTTTGAGTTTTGCGAGACCTTGATCTTTGACATCATGTTCATCCGCGACGGTGCATTGGAACATTATCGCCCTGCTCTTGCAATAATAGAAGAAGTCGTATGTTGGTTCTGTTGGCGACTTGGGCACGTAAAGACAGTTGTCGATGAGATCGCTTGCTGTTAACTCGGTGTATAATTTCTTCAGGACAGGCTCGCGTGGGTGCGCGCTGATCAACGCGGGGCGTTGATTATATATGCGCATGCTACCCGCGACGACAAGCCACAAGGCCGATGCGGCGGGGCCAATGCTCCAGTGTTGATTTTTTCTTGCGTTTCTAGCCTCCAATTCTCGCAGCTTCCACAACCCACCCAACGGCAAATGATCAACTACTATATCCTCCAAAAAATGGCCTGCGACAGCTGCTAGAGGCTTAATGCCCAGGAAGTCCTTATAGAACTTTGTACGTTCCTCTGAAACCGTCGATTCGAAGCGGCGGATGACCAGTGACGTCAAGTAAGATGTGGGTATGCGACAGGTGGCACGATCAAATAGATAACTTGAGTCTGGGTAGAAGACGAATAGCTCATGAGGGCTCGCATCAGTTTCAGGAGCTAGGATAGCCTCCGCTTGGCGGGCAGCATCTGCAAAGCTGGAGGAAGTGAGTCGATTCAGCTTCTTCTCTATACGTGTCTGGTAGGTTGTCTGATCGAATGCTTTGTTGAATGCCAAGCGAGCGAATGGCGCGTAACGGTCGAACCAGGATCTGAGCTCTTCTTCGCCAGCAAGCAAATTGCTCACACGGAAGGAACGCCTGAAAATTTGTCAAAACATTAGCATAAACTACATAGAAATGGATAAAATGCGTACACAATGATAGCCTCCTCGAATGTGAACGGACTGATGCAAAAGGAACAACTAATCGCGGAGCCCTTTCCTAGCCAATCTAACCTTTTCTCTCGCGCCGAAGCAGCCTGAATTACTGTCAAGAGTGTATTACGAACGAATCTAGTCGGTAAGATCATGTCGAGGTTCGAATCGACCAAGCACCAGGCATCAGGAACAAGGAGTCCAAGACGGGTAGCCACTCTAGAGTCCTCCAGAGTGGCTCCAGTGATAGTAAACACACCATGGGCCGCGAAAAGGTATATACAATCCTGCTGAAATTGTACAATTGTAGGACGCTTGGCATTCAAACGGAGGCCTAATATGAAATGCTGAAATAGGCTCTTTCCTATAGTCATGGAACGTGGTTGATCACAAGCCATGATATCAAGAACAAGCCTACAACGCACCATTGCCCGGACTGCCCGTTACCGATATTTCACACTGAAATTTGCTTTGCATCCTTGTGAACGGATTTTCCGGGATATGAGATGTATACTGTTGAACATCCACTCTCGCCTCTTCATCCTCATCCTCCACCTCTTCATCCCCCTCTGGCCCCGGCATTTTCTCTGACTTTGCCTTCGAGGATTTCGGCACGTGAATGGCGCCTTGCACAAGAGCAACTATTCGCTTCAGTATCTCGATGTAATCATGCCTTACATAGACGGCCGTTGTTCCGAAAGCTCTAAGCTCGTCAAGGAACCCCGGCATTGCCAGACACTGCTGGGGAATGTTATCGATGTTGGCACGCTGTCCCATGCGTATAACAGGGAGGAAGCGGAGGACGTTGATTCCGTCTCGCCAGGCGCTGTTCCACAGCTCCAGCGGCCATTCTTGATCAAGCGATTGCGCATACTCGTTGGTCCACTCTTCAAGGGTCTTTGCACGGACGGACATGGTAGCGAGGAGTAAAGACAGGAGTCCATCGGTTCGGCGCGTGACTCTAGCTAGCTCTAGCTGGGGCACCGTAAACGATAAATGTGGCGCGCGAACGCTACAGACTAAGTAAACAGATTCATCGTTGATTCACAGCGCGGCGCTCCCACTGGGTTGTGCTTATCCAAAGTTCCAAACCCTGGAGTCATCGTATCGATATATCTTTATGAAGAGCGAACATATTGGCAAGAGTCAACTTGGCTAGTCTCCTGTGAGCAGAATAGGTACTTCCTTCAACCTTCGCTCTTGCAGGCTTCGGATATCTGTATCTGACAAGTTGGCCAGATCTTGTGAGTTACGCACCCACGACTACCGTCTCACTCTTCGCTCATATAGGTTATGTTATAGCCCTCATGAGCGCACACTAGGGGGCTCACTCATCCACCTGCTCCTGCAACCGCCCCCCGCCCCCCCCCACACACCTTCTGAAGTCCTGTACTGTTCCTCGACATGCAGCGCCCATCCTTTCCTGTCCTTTTACACTCGACAATTTTTTTACGATGAGATGTTTGATACCTCTCGCAACGTCGACCTGGATTTTTTTTCTTCAAGTTTTGCGTTGATCGTGACCATCGTGACCTGAGTCCCGCCCAAGCAACCTTTATGGATCCGTCGGCAGGTCAACTTCATCGCCGATTCGCACGAGACGACTTTTGGAGATGTGCAGAGCATGAGCATCGTGCCACTCGATAATCTTGTCGAGATTCCTGCACTGGTGCCAGTTGCTGAAGTCGGGATACGCATCACGGTAGCCTTTCACCCAGTCGAAGGTAATTAGCCCCACGTCGCCCGCACACAGAATGTTTTGTCTCATCATCTCGATGCAGTGGTCTGATGAAACCCAGCCGCCTCAAGTCAATCGACAACGTCTCCTGATAGAGTAGCAACGGATCCAATCTAAATCACGGTGGGTAGTTTGCAATCCGTAATAATCAAAGTAGACGGCCTTCCGGATGGAATCTTGTATACTGGCTAGCCATGAGCACACAATGTGGGATGAGGATCGGTGCACACTCGCCAGGCAGTGTAAATGATGACTGATCTCGAGAGTGGCCATATAGCCTCCGCCGTCCTCTGCACGGTATTTAGTGATCGAAGTCGAGGCGTCTTGCCGATCTTGGTAAGCTCTTCGCTTGAAATCCGGATTGGTCTCCCTATTGTCATAGCGTCAGCTCCACGTTCATTGCAAAAGGAATAGTGAAGGGATCACATCCGCCGAGCAAACGATCCCAAGCGGCGTCCACTTCCGGGCTCGAGGGACCTCGGTACTCGGAGGGAAACCTGAGTGATCCGTTGGATTGCACCTTTTCGTACTCAACGGCGTCCAATGCAGGTGCTGGATGAGTATGAGTGAGTGTTGTTTGCCCTTGAGAAACTATCACTCACAGTATGTAGACAACTTTCTCCGGCACTGATCTTCAGAAGGATGCAGTGACAAGAAGAATAAGAAGGCAGAAAAACTGAGTAGGACGCCGTGCGCGATTCATGGACCAATTCGAAGGATGGTCGGTCGCGGAGTGGGTTGCGCTGATGTCGCTGTGAGGTCTGAAGACGACTCCAACAGCTCTTTAGTTGCTTCTTCGTCACTGGTGCGGATGGGTGAGTATTGGGTCATCGAGGAAACAGCGCGAGGACAATAATGAATGTTGACTATTTGTTTTCCGTGGTCCTTTCTCATCAACCAACTTGTTGAAATTGATTGATAGCCGCTGGCAATTCTGGTGGACGTTCAGTCAATTTCAATCTAGATGTCAGGCAGTACCACATCTATCATCGCCTTGTCCATAGGTAAGATTGCGACGTCCCCGGGCGGTGTCGTGAGGTTCTTGCTTTTGATTGACGCATACGCCATGGCGCGTGAACATTTCTTCTGAAGTAGGTACTGACCACGCGTATAATCCGCGCCCACGCTGATTCTCCATAATCATTGACAGTTTGGGGATACACAGACAATGGAATTTGATCAACTTGGCGATAGTCCGAGGTCGCACTCCCGTCCGATGTATGGCATGCCATACAAGTGGGAGCAACGATGCTGCACCAGAATTTGAACACGGGTGGTCGTCCGTAGGTGCTGTAATGACAAAAGGTCTCACAATGAGATCAAAATCATCACCTTGACGTCCTGCCTCACGATGCAACCCAGAACTCTTGCCCTTGCCCTTGCCCTTGCTGCAATCTCCTTTGTTTCTCTTGGTGTTTCTGCAGCACCACACGTTGCCGTCGGTGAGTATTAAAACGTGTCGTACAATCTCAGCAGATCTTAATGTACCTCTGGCGTAGCTGTGCGCGGTAAGCACTGGGCTTGTCCTCTGGGGCTACTGGGGTACAGGTACTGACTCGGCTGATTGAACCGAAGAGGATGACATAACGGCCGCTCCATACTACGTTGACTATGTCGATAGCGATAGTTGAACGCCAAACGCTGTGAGCATCATGACACCAATCATTTAGAGCCGAGAATTTGTGTGTTCTGATACTTGTTCATTTCGAATATCTAGCGGGTATTCTGTCAGCATCATTAGGGGGATCCCATAGTAATTACTATCCAATGCATGTGTTGTCTGCCTTGCTCCATCTGGTGATAGCTGAAATGTGACCAAACATGTCAATGAAGAACAAATCGTGCCACGCAGCCAGATGGGCTAGGATGACCGTGCACTCATGACAATGATGTGGTCAGAGTCTATAGACAGGGGTATGCAAACAAAACATGTGGGGATGAATAGAAGAACATATGTACGGATATCGACAACGCGTCCGTAAGTTTACCTGCATGCTACATATGAGTGTGACAAATGAATAGACCAATGAATAACAAAACAAGGGACCACGCGCCCACCCAGGCTACATGCGCAATGCGATCCAGTAGCCCGCGAAGCAGATAGAATATGAGAAACAAGAGCGTCGAGGCCATAGCTCCCAACACGATAGGATGATTAGTTAACACAGAACACATCGCGCCCATATATACACACCATAAAAACCAGCCTAGCCATCTATGCACTGGTCCAACAGCACATCACTAGCCACAATACCTGCTCTGAACGCAGTGGCAAGTCCGGATTCTTCAACGATTACATCTTCCTGTATCACCAGGGACCTCGGGATCCATCCGCCCGAGCACCTCCCCCGATGCAATACTGAACCCCGACCCTGCACTGGCAGCGGACCCCAGTCGTGGTCGCACGTACTCTGGAGGCAGCGCAATCCCGCCAATATCAATTCTCGTCGCACCTGACCCTACACCCTCCGCCCTATCAGGACGGTTCTCAGTGGTCGCTCCGCTACCATTTCCAGATCCCTGACGCGCTCGCCGCCTTCCTCCGAGACCCCGTAAACTCGTCATGAATGCCTCGTTCATCTCCCGCAGGCGCTCATCCACCGCAGCCTCGGTGGCGAGCATCGGCTCAGGCATGGACCCTGTTCGTGTGCGTGAATGCACGCTCGGCGACCGTTCCTCTCTCCCAGAGCTCGAATCCTCTTCTGGGGACACTGTTTGTGGTGGCGTGCTCTGTTCTCTCATCCCAACTAATGGCTTCCGCGCGTCGATATCCTGTACAAATGCCGAGATGTCATCGTCATCCGTATTCGTGCTGAGGAATGAAGCGCCCTGAGGAGTCATGAGCATCAACACAGCACCCACAATGACTGATGAGAATGAACACAATCTATAAGATAAACACTCACCGCTACTCTCTCACCCTCCTTCGCCCCACTCCCTGCACTACCCTCACTACCCGCGCCTCCCGTTGCCGCATACCGATGTCCAAAACTACTTGAATATCTCTTGCCGCTCGCCAACCTAGGACTTTCCGAGACGCCCGCTAAAGCGCCTTCTGCACTCGCCAAAGAACGCCCGCCCAAGCTCGATGGCGCAAACGGGGGAGAAGGCCGGAATGGCGTCACAGGAGATGACGGTGCTCTGCTTCCAATCGGGCCGGTACTCGAAATTGCTCGTGAGGACGTCGGTGACGTATACGCAGGTCGCGATGGAAGTGAAGGACCCGCGCCACCAGGGAGTGAAGACAAAGGCGAGTGCTGACGGAGCGAAGGCGATGGCGAGTGGAGAGAGGGCGAACCGGATGACAGTGTTGAGGATTTGAACGGGTTGACAGGGTTTATCGGTGAGCGGCGAATCGGCACAGGACCTGGAGCAGAGGCATGATCCTAGTGACAAACTTACATGAATCTAGGCGGCCGGAAAGGAATGTGGCGCACACTTACCCCGCCGCGCACCATCCCCGTGCTTTCTCTCCTCAATCTAGCTGCTAAGGCAGACACAGTCTGACCCTCACCAACTGACCCCGTACCCTGCCTCGAAGACGACGCGTCCGACAACCCAGACGCTGATCCCGTCGCTCCTAGCCCCGCATTTGATGGTCGCCGCGTAGAAGGCAACGCCACGTTCTGCATGCGCGGGCTGCTGTTATGGGTAGGAAACGATGTGGCGCGAGAGCTTATTGGCGGTGGTACCACGAAGCGGTCTGCAACCGATGGGGGAGAGCGAGGGAGAGACGTGCGCATCGGCAGGCTACCAGGTGAGGTCGATAACGAATCGCGCTGCTGGTTCTTCACCAGTGTTGGCGTAAACTCGGTACCCTCGTCCAATGACAGAAAACGAGATAGGTGTGACTCGCGTTCATCCACTTCGAAGTGAGGCGCTGTCAGATATGTCACAGAAAACGCAAGTGTGCCCGATGGGTGCGTGATAGGGGGAAACGCGTGTGCATCCTGTGCAAGCTGACCCCTTCCGGGAGCGAAAGGCGAGTCTAGGCAATGTGAGTCACGATCGTAAATACACACATAGACTCATACAAAGACAACGTGGCGCACCGAACCCCAGAATGCCTTCGCGGCCATCATCTCCTGCCTGCACGCGCAACTCAATGCTAAAGTGCCCATTCCGCCCAACTGTGCGCCTGCGCAGCCTTCGAGCGAGCTTCCATGCAGGAATGATGCGGAGAAGTGTGAATATACTCCGGAACAGCGGGACGCCGTGCTTGTACATCGTCGCCGGCGCAACATCCACCTCATCGACACCGGGGCGAGCGTAAGTGTTCCTGGGCGAGAAAGTGATATCCCATGATTCGAGCAGGATGAATCTCGGAGTCGGGTCGACTTGCTGTCTCGTAGAGTCGAGAGGGAGATAGAGGAGCACTTGATTGTTCGTCAGCTCGGGGACACGCAGCACAACTTGGAGGCGGAAAGCGGGCGTCGACGCTGCGGAGGAGATAGAACGGTAAAGTCGGGTGTGCTCCTTGAGTATGTCAGGGTCTGGTGTCTCGAGATTGAACTTTATAATCTTAGTGATATATATGCCGTCACAAAGCGCCGCGATCTACTCACCCACTTATCCACTTTAGCCTGCGGAAGGGGCTCGAGGGTTGCCCTGGCATGATAGACGACAAGAGTGAGCTTCGTGTAGAACCTGTGAGCTATCTGGTCGGCTTTCTGGGTCTCATTGGACATGGCAGGGCTGGAAGAAACTCAGATAGTAGAGAAGCGCAGACGAGTAGACATGAGGGCAGTCGTAGAAGAATATGAACAGCCGGGCTGCGAAGGTCGCGGATGGCACGGGGTGCTGTTGTGGGTAATGACCGAGAGGGCCCTCAATTGGCGGATGTTCCCACCGGCAACGGAATGGGAGCAAACAGAGAGGACCGGTTCAGATGGCGGCAGGAGAGAAGTGACCGGAGTTGTCTGACTTTGACTGGAGCCACACAGCAGCCACCCATCCCAGACGGAGTTTGAAACCGCTAACGCGCAGTTCGAGACTGCGTCTGCGCACTTTACGCTTTCGTTCTCACATGCAACGACACTCAGTCTGAGTATTCTCTGCAGAGAATGTACGGCCGAAGAACCAGAGTGAACGCAGCCACAGTAGCAGAGGAGGCGGGGGGAGGAAAGAAAGGGCAGAACGTCGCAGGACGGCCTTCACCGTGCTTATATAGGGGATCTGCCAAGGGAAAAAAAATAAAAGTCGAAACAGATGAGCGAATGCAGGTGGAAAGAAGCACCTATGACGTAGGTCGAAGACGACGATCAGAGTGTCGTCGTCGTGTGCGACTTAACGCGTCGCTTCAGGTTCGAGTATCTTTCTGGCGTAGCAACTTGCGGCAAATATTCGCCTAGAAAATTGGCAAATACGCACACGCTGACCACCGCTACGGGTTCCTAAAGTTCACATATTTGTTCTATTCAGGTTGATATACTCGGGTGGCCCCGACATGAATCCTCCTCCCAGACGGAAGAACATGGGAAAGATTACCATAATAGAATAGCCGACTTCCTAATGAAGATGAAAAAGAAGGGGTGGGCGAAAACTCAAAGTCCGACCATAAAGACTGCGATCATGACAACTGCAAGCCCTAATCACACCGGACTCTTTCACGTTTCAAACGACACTCGCCGTATGTTGCTATGATTCTCGTCTTAAAATCTATCAGTCTGAACGCAACTCGTTGCGCCTCTCGACCCAGACATGTGGCGTGCTCTCGTATATCGCAATCTTGGACACATGTTGTCCCACATCTCCGCAGTTTTTCAGATAGCACCCGTGGCGAGGGAATAGATCCTAATGCCAATCCTCTACTTGCCATGCAAAGCGTTCGTCTCAAGGAAGGTGATGGAGAATCTTTCACCTGTGACGAAGAACCCCACATGCTATCCCCGGAAATAGGATACGGATATTTCCCTCTGACGCTGGGACAACATCTGGATAAAGACCATCGTGATATAGAAATTGTGCGCAAGCTAGGCTGGGGAGGGTACTCCAGCGTCTGGCTTGCTAAATCTCATAAGTGCCTCACAAACCCAACCCGACCACCTGCCTTCACTAATCCCATGTACTAGAAAATCCTATCGGTCGCGATACGTGTCTGTTAAAGTCATGACGGTCAACGCCACTGCCGGAGCCGTGTACGGACACATGAATGAGATCAAATCGCTCAGGCTTGTCACGTCCCGAAATCCAAACCATCCCGGTTACAAGCATTGTATCGCGCTCGAGGACCAATTCGTCGAGAAAGGCAAGCACGGCCCTCATTATTGCTTAGTGACGCAAGTGTACGGGCGGAATATGGACACGCTGCGGTCCGAGTTACCAGGCAATCACTTTTCCGTTATTACTACCAAACGTATCATCAAACAGTTACTTCTCGCTCTCGACTACTTGCACACGGAATGCAGAATCGTTCACGGAGGTGAGACATAGTGCTCGTTGTATCACGCATTCATTGAAAGAATTCTCGTCAGATCTCAAACCAGCCAACATCCTCTATTCGCCTTCGTGCCAAGATGACGCGATAGCGCGCCACATCGAAGATTCTCCGTCCACCTGCTACGAACCTCGTTTCGAGCCAGACTTATCTCCTGACCCAATCATTACGGTCAAATCGCAGCCGCTGCCGAACTTTGGTTTACGAGAAGACATGAGCAATATCGAAATTTGTCTTGTTGACTATGGCGAAAGTGAGCTAAGGTTTTGGCCCAACGTTGGGTCAGATACTGAAAACGTCTTTTTTATCTTTCAGCGGCCTCTGCTGATGAAAAACATACGCATGGAACTCAGCCTTTGTTACTTCGTGCCCCCGAGGTCTTGATAGGCTACCCTTGGTCCACTGCGACGGATATCTGGTCGCTTGGAGGTCTGGTGAATAAATCTTCCTTCTTTTACATGCCATTCGACTGGACTCACGCGAAAGGAAATAGGTGTTCGAGTTTCTAATCGGTTGCCCGCTCTTCACCTTGTACGAGACAGAGTCTGTCACGCTCGAGGACTCACTGCTGCGCCGAATAATTGAACATATTGGCCCTTTCCCTCCGCATCTTTTGGCCAAGGCTACTAGGCGCGACGATTACTTCGACGCTGAAGGTACGAAACAGGGGTGCAACGTCATCGATCACATCTGATATCGCACTAGATGCCCTCCTCCGTATCCAGCACTACGTACCCCAATCCCTTGAAGCGTGCCTCGAGATTTACAACGTCCTTGGCGAGGCGGATGTGGACCCCGCCGCCGCCTTCATACGGCGCTGTTTGACGATAGATCCCGAGCAGCGACCCGCAGCGAAGGAATTGCTGGAAGACGACTGGCTCCAGGATGTTTAAATCTGAATTGAACTTCAAAGATCTGTACTGCAGTCGACCCATCTGGTCTCGTAGCGTCTGTTGCGCTTAGATGTGTTTCTGTGGCGATACAATAGATTCGGATCTAAGGTCGAGGCGGAACACCCTTGTGAAACACACTGCGGGTGCTCTTGCGGTTGATCGATCTGTTACTTCGATCAAAGTCAATCACGATTCTCACCAACATTTCCTGCACACACAAGCCGTATTTTTAGCAAGGCTTCATCTCTCCATGCACCTGCAGCGTTATTATACAGTGATTTTGATAGGAAGTCGGGATATTGAAGCAGGATATCAGTTCCTCTTCAATAGCCTACAACTCCGGGTTTTGCCACAGCCGCAGTTTGTCAAGATGTGCGCGCAGTCCCAGCGGACTTCTCGTACAGAGCCTCTTCAAAAGGGTGTGCAGAACCAATCAGCGTGCACAAGTGTTCATGGGTTCGACACCAACGCATGGTAGCGGACATCACCAAGATCCATGCAATCAATATGCGAATCCAACATGAAGCCACGCAAATGAGATCATTCCTCACATGTGCATACATACCTGACTCGCGCTGCGATTTCTCTCTGTTGGAATATTTGACAATATTTCGCTGATTATCGGAAGATCTAAACGGAATCGATGCCCACTCACCACAACACTACCATAGACTGCGCTGATAGACATGTGGGCTGGGAATCGATGCCCCCATGATAGTAAGCTTGATGGTCTGAATACAAGCTGAGCATACAATGTACATGGTAACGATTGGCGCAAATTGTAAGCTGCTGTAGTCGTTGTGCTCTCATCATTGACGATATGTATAACTCAGGACATCACATATTCTTTATGAAGATCTTCTGAACCCAAATCAACGCCGAAAGCGGCTCGTAATAATCAGGACTGAACATACCTTGCACTCAACGGGGACCCTCTCAGAGTCCCTGCCCAGCTCAGGCACAGCACCCCTTTCGCAATCAAACGTGTTCAGTACAATTAAATCCAAAACCTTTCGATACACGAAAACCCATGAGCGGAGACGAGAGATACCCGATACCTATTGAGGATCACGAAGAGAAATGTCATGCTATAGAGGGTGACGACAGAAAGAAGAAACAGGCTCTGGGCGAGACATGACATCAGACGACTATGCGGCATGAAGTACGGAGATAAGGGAGACGCGGGGCTAAACATCTATCGCGTCATATTCATTGTCCTCCCGCGCAGGCCAAAGGGGACACAAGCGAGCATTCACGCACGCAGACAAAAGAGAAAACCAATAATTCAAGTCCATTCATGAAGCAAAAGCAGGTCCACGCCCACTGATTAATCAATACCTCACCTGCGTGCTCTGCCGTGGTGCATTCTGGTAGTAAGGGTCAAACTCGCTACTGTGTCCCGCACCGCGCGCATCGTCGTGATACGCCGCTAAGCTTGCACTGCTCGCGTTGCCTGCAACGTCCCATGTGCTCCGGCTGTCCAGTTGCAGCGGTACAAACGCACTCGAGTCCGAGCGCCGCACCCCGTGGCTTGCCAGAGCCCCGCCCGCCGGGGCCCCAGCCATCGACATCCCGTACGCTCCTGTGGCGCGCTGCTGGGCCAGAGCCCGTCTCCTCCGCGCTACATATACCCCGGCTAGCGCGCCGACAATGCCGACGAGCGCAACCGCGCCAACGATACCACCAACGATGGCGCCTGTATGCGACGACGACGTGATTGCCCTCGAATTATTGTTGCTGCTCGCGCCTGAACCGGAACTAGAGCCAGAGTTGCTTGACCCTCCCGCAGTCCCAGTGACATTGTCGAGGCGAACACTGGGAGGCAGAACCGTGACAGGCGAGGTCGGCTGCGGGCCAACCTGGCCGTTACCAACGGAGACCATTGTGCCATTGCTTGGGACACCAGACATGGTGACGAACAGAAGCGCAGGCCCAGGTTGGAACAAGTTTGCGTTGGGAATTAGTTGCGCGACATGCAAAGTGATGGTCCCATTGCTATTCACCGTGTAAGTGTTATTGAGCTGCATCGACCTCTGACCCATGTTCATGGCGTGGGTCGTCCATCCTGGACGGATGAGCCATACTGTCGTGTTGTCTGCAGCATCGTTGGCGCTGCCAGAGTAAGAAGACGCTGGAACAATGATGTCGAATGCGTCACCACCATAGGAGAGGTTCTTGGGCATGTTTTGGGGAGAAGGGCGCGTTGTTGCGGCAAAATACGAAGGATAGAAAAACTCAGCCTGATACTGGGTCGGGTAGATGGCGTTAGGGTTCACGTCGAGGTTAGGATTCGAGCCAGCGATGAGGACCGACGCGTCGGGCATAAGGAGCGCGGAAGAATGGTAGAGGCGTGCGATGTTCGACGTGTCGAATCCCTCACTTGACCACTGGGAGCCAGAAGGTGCACCGGGATCGAATAGGGCAGGTTGTCCAACAGGATCGGATGCGAGCGACTCGTCGTAGGGCATGTCATTGAAGTTTGTGATCAAGAGCGTCTGTTTCGAGAACCCAGCAGTCCCGTTCCTGCCACCATTCACAACTAACATCTTCCCGTTCGGGAGATGAATAAACTGGCCCATGGTGCGAGGGTCGGACATGCTATCAACCTCAACGTACTCAGGCGCAGATCCATCGGTCGGCTCAGGTGTGATCTGGTGGCACCTGTTTGACGCAGGGTTCCAGAACGTGTTGATGAATGGCCAGGAATAGTTACCCCAAGCGTAATCAGGCATGTCGGAACCCCCACAGAACATAATTGTGGGCGTGTAGTTGTTGGCGGGCGTCAGCGGAAGCATGGCCGTCGCTCCAGAACCCGGGTATACACGGACGATACCGTCGGGCATGTCGGGAAGAGGTGTCTCAATGTTCTCAAGGGGGTCCCATAACACTTGTTAACATATTAGGTAGGTCAATGCACAAGCTAAAGGTCGGACGCACTGGTGGACACATTTGCTTGCACGAACATCTTGCCTGAGGGCATCATGAACGTATGTGCATACGAGTTCAAGCCCGATGTCTGAATCATGAACTGCATGACTTGTGCGTCACCTCTGGAAGGGTAGAACTCAAACGTCGGTTCAGCCGCGCCACCCTCATATTCAGGATCGACGTTCGGGTAGTTCCGATTGATATATCCTCCTTCGACAAAACCACCCATGATGACAATAGTGCCGTCGCCAAGTGGCTCAGTGGCCGCATACCATCGTTTCTTCTGCATGTGCAGCACCGTGGCATTATCGAACCACTGGCATTCGGGCTGAGAGATGTCAGACCACGCACACGGGTTAAGAATTCGGATGGAATCCGACCCCGACCAATCCTGGTATGTTGTGTCATACGTCGCCGAGTATCCGCCGGGTGCCAAAACGTTGCCGATAGTTCCACCAGGACCAACAGCCCCGTTCCCTCCGAAAGTGACATATGACCCGTTTGGCAAATGCATACCCGACGCGCAAAATGTATTTGTGTATACTTGCATGGGTTGCGCGGTCCGACCTGGGACGCTATACGCGGACCCCCAAGCTGGATGACCGTTGATCTGAGCAGCATTACCTTCTGTCTTGTCGAGCATATATACAACTTCTTCATTGCCCAAGAACATCTGTGGGAAAGGATCCCATCAGCGACCACGAGCGAGAAAAACATGACGAAAACGAAAATAAGAACGTTATACGACGAACACAGATGATAGCACCAGGGAGTAACGAGTAGTACCATACTCATCGTATTGAGTCTATTATGAATCCTATTTCTCTTTACGAGAATCCAAAGCATCGAACGGCAAGAACTCTGGAACATGGCCCCAGATGTGGACGAGGTCGATTTGGCAACTGTCAAGAGGACACCATGACGCAGCTGGTGGAAATGTTCCCACAGACTGCAAGTATTCGGGCCTTACTCGAGTGCGGCAATGATGCGAATACAAGCAGTAACAAGTGCTCTCTCTCTCCAGGCTGATCTCCGTCGATACGGCCGGATGGCATACACTCACCATCATGGTACTGACGAGCGTGTTGCCGCCATCTTCAAATGAGCCAGCAGTATGGTTCTCATACTGGGCAAGAGTTGTCGGAGCGACGGTTGCCAGAGAGAGGGCCAGCAACGAGAGCTGGCGAGAGAGCATATTTGACGTTGACTAGTCGTTAATTTCTTCGATTTTTGAGCCCAGGGGAGATGAGGGGTGTTGGAAGGTCGGCAGCGTCCAAAGCGCGCTATGAAAGGAGTGTGGGGGGCGAGGAGAAGGGTGTTGGCGCGTTTAACGTGCGTCGGTTCGACGTGGTTGAGAAAAGACCGGGCGAGGAACGCGTGCCACCGCGCCCATGTGGCGTTTTGCCAATATCGGCGCAGTGCCGTGATGCCGAGAGGTACCACGCGGTTTCTATTCATACTCCGCGAGACTCCCACACGGGCATCGCGCGCCAGGTTTGCCATTTTGAGAGATCCGACAAGGTCCGATCGTCGTCCCGCGGCGAGTCCTCGTTGCTCACCCACGCATCTCGGCCCCGTATTATCCGCATCCTCCGACCGATTTGCTTGATTGCGTCGGTCCCAAGCAGGGCCTAGCGATTTGCTCGTCAACTTCTTCCCGAGTTTTGCAAAATCATTGGAGCCAGGGCGCCCCAAGCCCAGCACGAGACACCTCTATGATCGTATCAACAGGTCATTTCATTCTTGGACGCGCTTACCACTTCTGCCATGCTATCCACAGCCTTCTCACTTTATATGTGAGTGCCGATACTATTTAGTGTCTATAAATATGGCGATGGAAATAGACAGTTGAACGAGAACGTGGGATGAGCCCACTGGTTACTGTGTGGTAACAAATATAGGTGTCCTCAGGACTGAATTGAAGCTGCAGTCGTCATAGGAACTCAGATTTCAGGTGATATCTAAGACTGGCGTCGATTCCGAATCACCTCGTGCGCCAGGGATCGCTCGTCATCTTTGACTTATTCATCAAGACTAAGTCGCGTCGAAGCCCCTCACCAAGTCCTAGACAGCGCAATCTACTTAATCATACGCAGAAACGGCTCACCTTCGCTCTCGGGTTCCTTCCGCGCAAGCGTTCGAGTTCGCTGCAAGTCTGAAAGGAATCCATGAGCCCTATCCGTACACGAATACTGGTCAGACGTGACTGCGTCCGCGGACGGAGATATACAGGGGCCGCCCCAATAAAGGCCCGGATATGTCACGAAAACACGGAGGCTTGGCGGCACTACGCTGCCATCTGTAGTATAGCTCGGGGACGAAGCTAAAACCTAGAGTCCCGCGAGGAGATCTGGCCACATCGTGGGTTCGAACTCCGCATTGGCACTGTGTTTGGCTACGAAGGCCGGGTATGTACGCTTTGTGAAAACTCAATGCACAGTTATCAGGCATATTCAAGATCTGTACAGGCACGAGCATGAGTGAGACAAAACCGAAGCTGGGTGCAGAGACTTACCGAGTAATCAATTGATTCTAGAATTCTTTAGGCCAAACAAGCTACCACACTGGTTTGTTCTAGATAAGTAGGCTGTTAGTGGGCTGTCAGGAACCGAGTCGTAGCCAAGCGTCCAGCCTAGAGAACATGAGGCATTGGCCAACAGGATCAAAATTGGCGGTGTGGCATTTGACCTCTTCCCCCGCGAGTGTCTCCCAGATTCCAGAACGTGGAAATCAGCTCAACATATAGGTGCTAATACACCGTCAGCAATATCTATGCCAAAGGTTGTATATTAAAGCCGGTCTTATGCTTTTCATATTTATACGTTTGGTTAATCCAGAGCCCAAAGGAAAGCTGAAAACAACATATGAACTTGCTTCCATCAGCGTCAGGTGAAGATCGAGTCGAACATTGAAGAGCTCGAACATAGTATCAGCAGATGAGGATGTCGACGAGACGGGCGAAAGTCGAAAGACGTGTCGCATCGGCGTCTGAAAGCGGCTAAATTGGTCCTGTCTTACTGTCACGCTACTTCCATCACACCCAGAATTCAAGTTGAAGACACATTGATCAGTTCGACTCAATCGTGTAATAGAAGAAAATTGGTCAAGGAATGCTTTCTTGGCATCACGAACGAAGCTTGCCATGCTACAAGAATCATGGTATTGCTTATCAACTTTGCTGTGGAGTGTGACTTGATGTTTCTCAGTCCGAAACCCAAAGGGATACAACACATTAGCACTAGCAATCTCAGACTCACTCAGGCTCCATCAGTGCAGGCGTTGAGGGCCCGAGGCTGCCCTCTCTCGACTCGACGTACAAAATGTCAAAGGCTCGGTATATTCCGCATACGAATCAGCCTCCGCTCGATCCACAATCTCTCAAGAACGACTTGCAGAACGCGCTTATTGCGAATGTCCAGCGTGTACACGGACACCTGACATGGATGCCGGGGGTATACATTGGGCTATCAGGTCTGTAATCTGCTCGGTGAAGTAATCAGTGTATGTAAAAACAAGATGTAGGACCCGTTCTGATGGACTGGAAGTTATCGTCCCTGGTCCCGGGGTTGAATCTTGCGTCTGGGTCCACTCGCACCTTGTTTGAAGAGGAAATCAGTGTCCTACATACGGCCTCACATACGTCTTTTCTCGAAACTAGCGTGGGCAACGCCACTCTGGTCCTCTACGATTACATGGCTCTGCGACCAGCGCGCGCGAAGCCCAAAGCGAGGAAGATTCATCGACAAGGCGTGCATGTGCTCAGAGGTGCTTTACCGCTTGTGTCACGAGAAGAACTCGATGATGACGGGTGCGAGATCCTGTACGGACGTGCCGGGTTGCTGTATGCCCTCTTGTTGCTCCGATCAGGGCTCTCGTCAGCTACACAAGCGGATCAGAAACTATCGCCTTGACGTCTCGCATGACTGTGTCATCTGCTCGAGTAACTGGAGGCAACCATAAACGACATCGTGAAGCGCGGGCGGCTTGGTGCAGAGCTGTACAAGGCAGGGCTGGAGGACGAAGAAAGGGCTCAAGCACCTCCCCTTATGTGGCTGGCGTGGAAAAAGATACCTTGGTGGGGCACATGGGGTTGGTGAGTTCAAAATAACAAAGACCGTGGTGATCGGATTCCAATCATCCTCATGCATAGCTGGTATCCTGCAAATGCTCGTCTCTTCCCCTTGCCACTTGTTGAGGCCGCACTGGGAAGATATCGTCGGGACGACGGAGTGGCTGCTTTCAATCCAGGATCCACCAGGAAATTGGCCGACGAAAGCAGGACGGGACATGTACCAGGCTGCCGGTGCAAAAGGCTGATAGCAGGTTAGCATCGAAGATGACGGAACTAACAGGCTCGTCCAGTAGGTTACTTAATCGTCTTTCACTTCTTTGTGCCAACATGAGCCATAGATGGTGCCATGGTGCACCTGGGATGGTGATATTCCTACCCACACTACTCTCATGTTCGGCGATGGGTTCGCACTCTCCGCCCCGCTTGCGGACGACATCACTGAGGCGCTCAAGCGGGGTGGCGAGCGCGTCTATACGAGGGGGTTGGTCACGAAGGGTGTTGGCCTATGCTACGGCATTGCGGGGAGCGTCTACGCGCTGCTTGCGGTAGCAGGTGCACTTGACGGTTCTACAAGTACACGGTACTGGTTCTCGTGGGCGGTGCACCTCGCACATTTGGCTACGGATTACCAGGCGCTTGAGCGTAATGGGAAGATGCGCATTGCCGACAGGCCATATAGCTTGTATGAGGGCGTGGGGGGAATGTGCTGTGCTTGGGCAGAAGTCCTGGCGAGAATGAAGCTCAGTGAAGAGCAGGAGGAAGGTGAGAGGCAGTGGCGAGGGATGCCCGGGTACAGTGACATAGGTGGTGTGTGAGCTTAAGATTGTGTCGCAGAGGTCGTGGCTGTGATAGAGGATTTGTGATCTTCAAAATGCGCCAACGATGGCAAAAGCCTCTGTGAACTTTGTACAACACGGCCACATCCTACGGTGAAAGAATGGCTGCAAACCCTTTGGCGCTGCTCAAACCGACTGTACCAACTGGAGTTGTATAGAGGTCCTTGTGCTTTGCCGAACTCTTTTCTACCTGATCTCTGTGTGGGTCGTGGTTGTTCGTTTGTCAAAGCCACATCTTCCGCCACTTTTCAGTTACATTCGAGACCAGTGGGCTTTGTGTTGACACGATCCTCGTACGTGCTCTGAATCAGAACAGGGCTAAGATTCCTCCTTTGCACTCCCCTCCTGGACAGCCACATCCACCCCCAACATGTCTGGACGTACTATACCTACGCCGGAAGGCATAATGTCTACTGCATGTATGTGGGTGTGTGACATGCTTTTGTTATATATGAGAATGTCGGAATGGCCCTCCAACTTCGACCGTGTCAGCGCCTCTGTTGTGCCCAATCTCTTTCGGACCAAATGGCAGCATCATCTTCTCGAGTTGGGTGAGTATCAACCCTTTGCCAGCCAACCGTGGAAGATTGTCTCACTATTCGTTTTGCCATAGGTCTCCAGCCCCCTTGGTTAGATCATGTACAGTTACAGAGGAATAGTCATGTTCTAGATATCTCGAGTGAGTGCATCAACTTGCGCTGCGGAGAAGAGATCTCATTATTGGACCGCAGCTTGTCTGACTGGCCGGAACAGGAACCAGAAGCTGTCCAGCAGCAGATGCCACAGCAGACAGCCAGAGCATTGTACGTATTATAGCTATACATTGTCGCTTGTCGGGACAACGGGATCAATAGGTCGGAAATTCGAGAGAGTGGCCGACGAGCTCGTACGTTTTACGAAAGTGGGAGGTCCCCAATTCCCAATATCGTCGGCTCGTTGAATAGAAATGGCATTCATGACATGGTGTAAGTGTTCGAGGCATAGTTCCTACATTCCATTTTTAAGCTGTCAAGTCGAGCATGATAGAGAGGATTTGTTGGATTCAATCAAGGATCGCGGTGCTGCTCAAGAAGGCTGGATATTCCTACACAGCCGATCTTGGTCCCCAAGTGGACGCGAGGAGGATTTCTGTTCCCCGAAGAGCCATCGCACTCGCAACTGAGAGAAGGGTGAATCACAGCCCATACGAGGTAGAGAGAGGAATTCTCGTAGATCGTTGACGATGTCGCCCATAGATGAAGATGAAGTCAACGACGATGAACTCATTGAGCCGACAACCGCGGGATCATCTTCATCGCCATCGAAGGCTAAAACTACGGCCAAGATATCCACTACTGTTTCCCCCATCAAACAGACCACAGGAACAGCGGGGTCAAGCAAGAGCCAGACAAAGAAGCGTCGGAAAGACATGAAGGTGGCAAGCGCGAGTGTCCCGACATATCCTAATCTTACACTTGACCGCACACTGCGTTCCAAGATGCTCTGTAATTTAGCAGCACTCAACGTTTAACGTCCGATGTCCACATTTTTGCATGATATTATAGTGGTACCCATCGTCGTCGCCTTTATAGTACAGACTCCTGCATGTCGATGTGCGATACTTGGCTTTCGTTTACCAACATCCATGATAGACTCGGTATATATCAGTGTGATCGTTTACTCTCACTGAGTGCCAGTATAGCATCCACTTCTAGTAACCTAATTCGAAAAGATGTCGGTTGACATCTCCTCTTTTCTACTAGTCCTTACACACGCGACGCAGCTCCTGTCTACATGGGGCTCGACCCTCGCATATGATAAAATGATTTAAAGGGAAAAAAAAACAGGAACAGGTCTCGTCGCCCACATCGTAAAAAGTACTCCCACTCAAAGTTTGGGTTTGTTATTGCGTCAGGAGCTGAAGTACAGATGCGCTAAATATTTGTGACGCGCGTAGTATCCATAGACAATCAGGTTCTATTCAACGAAGGACTCTCACGTTACACTCAACACAATACCAAGTAATGCATACACTCATACCAATCAACTCTTACATAGGAAATCCTAGTGGGGGGAAGCGGAATGTAACTATTTACTTTGTGCCCTTGCGGGTCAAACTGCTCACAGAATTCGAGTGGACTATTAATTCTCCTTTTTTCACATCATTGTCAGCGCGCAACGTTCAGGGGGGAAAATAACCAACCGCATCGGTAACGTCAATAATTGTATACTTGGGACCATAAAGGTTGTCCGTTGACACCGTGTCATCTTGATGTAGTGGCCATTAGCAATAGTACCACAATAGCCTCAGAGTATAAGAAAATTACTTACCGCGCTTACCAGCGTATTTTATGAAAATGTCATCGGTCGATGCATCCTCTGCATAGCTGTCAGTATTTTCTATTACGTTCAACTGTGGAGACATTACTTACCACGCTTATCAGCGTATCCTATGAAAATGTCATCGGTCGACGCATCCTCTACATAGCCGTCAGTAGTTTCTATTACGTTCAACGGTGGAGACATATTACGTACCACGCTTACCAGCATATTTTATGAAGATGTCGTCGGTTGACGCATCCTCTGCATAGCTGTCAGTATTGTCTATTACGTTTGACGGTGGAGACATGTTACTGACCACGCTTATCAGCATATTTTATGAAGATGTCATCGGTTGACGCATCCTCTGCGTAGCTGTTAGTATTTCCTATTACGTTCAGCCGCGGAGACATCTGTACCACGATGAGCTTTGTAAGGTATGGTAATCTTAGAATCAGCTGAATTTGGCGAATATGTCTTCATACTCACCGATAACACCATACGGCATTGCAGTAACACCAAGAGAGACAAAAGAAACAAGCGCGGCAAAAACAAATGTAAGGCTCCTTGGCTGCATAGTGAGATAGATCAGCAAGGTGGATTGCTAGTCAGAGTCGCATTCCTAGGCCTTATATACCTCATGAATCGTCTTAAAATAAACGCAATTATTCCAATTGAAATGTGTCATGGCACTGTATTCCAGACATCGGACACACAACAACCTTCACAAGGTACCCGAGTGTGACATATCATTTCAAGGAATACTGAAAGAGTTGCGAACACGAAATTTATCAGTCAAATTTGAACACCATCATCGCGTATCCAGATGCCCCGGCCCCAAAACTGTCAGTGGTCTATGCATCCTTGATAAGGCATCAGCATACACCAATACTAATATCAAAGAATCATTGGACATGTTGAATGCTCACTCGAAAAAAAGGATCACGTGGGATAACTTTCGCGTTATTGATTATTAAGAACGAAACTAGCAGCAGTTACAATTGGCTGTTCGCTCTTGTCATGCCCAAATTCTGGCGTTCATGTCAGTATCGAAAGGTAGAAAGAACTTTGAGCATGTGTACACCATCAAAACAAGAAATTACCTGAAGTGCTGTACCAGAGCTTCCAGATGAGTTCAGAAGCGATTTCAGCAGTCCAGCCGCTCAGCTGCCAGAACCTTGTGTAAGCGCTCTGACACGCCGGCGTTTCGAGACATATATGTAGGTGTGCTGTGCACCTACAGTCATCGTAAGTACCTCAATTATGCTAGATCATGCTTAGAAAGGAACTCTGCGTGAAATTTTCGCGGCCTTCAGCTAGTCTGCGGCTGCTGCCAAATGGTTCCAGAGGTCCAGAGTTCCAGCAATTCCCGTTTTTGCTGATGACTATCCGACGTACGTAATTTGTCATTGTCAAGGGGCCTCCTGCAGATGCTGTAAAATGTGTGACCGATTGGAATGGGAAATACGATATAAATGGAGCAGCGCCAAGTCCCACCTATCTATTTTCATCCCGTTGGAATGGAAAACGCCTGAACGTCGACCCAGCAGAAGTACCTGAGAATACATAACAGTTCCAGAAAATCTGATGAGCAAAACCTTAAAAAATAGTCCCAGCTGCGTCTTTCGTTGTTCCACCCATCACCGTTTTCCATGTCAGTCGAGTACTCACCTATTTGTGCTAGCAACGAAGAAGCCTCCAGAAGGCTGCTGCAGTCTGAGTTTTCCGGATACATTACAAAGTCAGAGCAATCTACTTCGCGACTGACCATTGCTCGAGTCGGCCCATGGATCGCCCACGGCATACTGCTTGGTCTTTCAGCTCTTTTATTTTTCTCGTCCCGTCGTCCCTCTAACGAGCCCGAGTGCTGGAGAACCTTGTCTTCATACTGTAAGTAAGGGTCACACAATCGCAAAGTAAATCTCACACATATTTATTCAGCACCTGCATTGGACGTCGTCGATTACCATAATGTAAAATTCAACGGATCGTTCACCTTTCCTTCCGAATATTGTGGCCCCCCGAGCCCTGAGGTGGATGCTGCTTGGGAGCAGCTAGTTGGTAGATGTGATTCATTATAACAATCGCAGTCTACAACAAGGATCATTAACTCACTCTCAATAGGGAGACCGATTAGAATCTCAAGCGAAGAACTCATCAAGATTGGCAAGGCGCCTCGGCCCTCGATGACGAAATACCATGCTGAAGACGGTGGAGGATACATGGCCACTCTCGAGATCAGCCATCATCTCCACTGCCTAGCGAGTGCTTCCAATTCGTGGGCCGAGCGTCGTACTGATGTCGATTTAACTTGCAGAATGCCATACGCAAAGCTGTCTATTCTGATTACTACAAGACGAACCATCAGGAACATTCAGAAGGGATTCATATAGGCACGTTGAAGCTACTAGACTGCGTGTGCTGCCAGGGAAGACAACTGAATCATATTCAGATCACTGTATCGATATAATAAGGCAGAACATTCTGTGCACGGGAGACGTAGGGTTAATCACCTTCGACTGGGTGAAAGGTCACCGGAATGCGTTCCCCGATTTCAGCAATTGGCATCAATGCAGGAAAATTGACAAGATCATTGAGTGGCACGATACTCATGCTCTGCACATCCCAGAAGAGCATCTAGTGCGAATTGGCGACGAGGTTGACCTTCTCACGGAGCCGTAAAGGCTGGTTGGACAAGGATTTGGGGTGTTCAGGGTCAGCCCAAAGCTTGCAGTATCAACGCATAGTATGCGCATCCAACGTCCGTTTTGGTCGAGTTCTTGTACAAAGATATTAGCTTTCGGCACTTTACAGAAACCAACGAGATACTCGCCGGCTATGAGAGTCTGTCAGCTAGTGCTGCAAATCCGCGGCATTATATCGGCTGAATTTCCGAAGTTAGCCTGATCCATACATTACCACATGGTGACGATCGACTACCTTTCTACACAATAATGCACAACATGAGGGCGATTTCATACTCTTGTATCAGCCGCTATGGACTGAATACTGAAAACTCGCCTGATGATAGTGCTACACCGTGCGCCGCCTTGGTCACACTGCGCGTCCGATTTTGTAGAGTCCGGTGTTGATATCAGACCTTGTGAACGCAGTGAACTAATCGACGTAGGCGAGATACGCAGGAGGTTGCTTGTTGGGGAATGGATGGATGGACTGCTCCTTTGCAATACTGCAACTCGTCCAACTCGATAGCCTGTCAGTATAGCTGTCAGCTAGACCTATCCCAGCAGTCCGTACAGTGAGCACAGACCTTCAAGACCAAATTGTCCGCCAGTACCATCATTGACCAACACCGTATCGAACTGTGCGGGCACAACACGGCCCTCCGCATCGAAGGCTCTCAGGAATGATAAATCTAGATCTCTGCCCATCCGCAATTTGGAAAGTCAACAAGATTTGATATAAGCTTGTTCCGAATCAGCCTGAGCCCCAAGACATGGATTCAGCTCAGAAAGCGATTCAGATTCCACTGCAGTCTAGTTAACCGTGCTATAAATTATTGCGCAATTTGGGACATAGAGGCAGTCGAGTGGGAGCAGACTGTTGAGTGTGTGACTCTAACTTGATATTAAAATCATCGAAGTGGTGAGTCCAAACCGTTGGAGGAACTGTGGGCCGTGGCGATGCCGATGACGAGGCGTACGGTGCTGCCGAGATGCCGTGGCTTCTTTAGGGAAATCATCAAGGACAGTGCGATCACAGAAGTCGACTTAAAAACGGTCTTCTGGAAGCAACGGGATTATATCCCCTTTATACAATGTGGTCACACTCATGACTATACATCATTGAGTTTGTACAATTGACACAATATACATAATACCAAATTTCTGCTCCTTCCGGGTACTACACCACCATTCCAGCACGAATCAAATTAGTCACAGAATGTGATGGCCAGGTCGACCTGAGCATTCACCCCCCGTTATTCCAACTTCACGGCTACTTCTAAAATTTGAAGCACTCACGTTAGCGACTGAGCAGCCAACTTGGACCCAGGTCTGGTCTGAGGTGTGGAAGGCATCAGGGCAGCTGCTATCAGTGCCTACATCAGGAGGATTATGAGATACTGCTAACAAATGATGGGGAAAGAGCGACTGACAGTCTGCACCTGCGCCATCGCAACCGTTGTAATAGCTAGACATTTCATGCATTGGTGAATTTCTCAAAACAAGAGAGGGTACAATCACTCACCCGAATCCGCTCGTTACAGAGAACTCGTGCCTAAACTAAAATCAATCGAAGTAGTTCCAATGATGGGAACATACATACGGAGGAATGAGCGAGATATCGGCACTGCTTCCACCAGCATTGTTAAGCGATGCCTCGATTAAGGTGCAATCTTCACCATTGTTGCCGCAATCGCCTGTAAAAAATGAGTGGTATAAAAGCACTGGATTATAGTGTGGATGCTTGCATACCAGTCTGCAAGTAACTGCAGAAGTTCAAAGGGTGTGTGTAAGTCTCGTCACATAAGCCAAAGTATATCTCAGCTCACGCGATCAAACCATCGGCAGGGCCATTACTGGTGTAAGGACTACCAGTGGAGAGGAGAACGCCGTCAGGCCCCCACAAGTAAGGCTATATAACGAATAAGACAGCGGCAGAATGCTCATGAAGCACAAAGCACAGACAGTTCCATAGCCACAGCTAAAAGTTTATGTGATCAATGAACCGACATGAAGCAGACTCAATGATACTCACTTGTTGGTGAAAGTGACAGTATGAGACTCGCCGCGGACCTGCACGAATGCCATGGCGGCAGCGACGAGGGCGATGGTGAACTTGCCGAACATTGTAAGCAGGCTGTAAATCTGAGGGAGGATGCGAAAGTCGAAGTGCTCAAGAGGTAAGCGAAACTGAGGATGGTATGAGTTGCAGTACGGCTTTTATACTGTATAGCTAGAGACGCTGATAGGGCCTTGACAGATACACCTACGGCGATACAGAGTAAGCCTCACTGCATACTTACCTGTCAGCCCCGAAGGTCATCAAGGAGGTCATCCGCCTGTCGTTTCAATCCATCCCGGAGACTCCATGCGAATGGTGATGATATTTCGAGTGGCAATGCATCATGATCTGCTTTCATTAGACCCGGCCGCATCCTGTCTAGATGTTAGCGAGCATTACGATTCTTAACACATGAGATAGATGAGTATGCACACTAGCCGATATCGTAGAATTTGCCATACAAAACGTACGAGACGTCTCAACTGACTTAAATGGTTCGATTCCCGGGATAAGTCGGGGATTCGCCACTGAAGGAATCATTCACTATTGTGGAACATGATTTATGCCGAAATATTATGACATTAGAATGTACCTTTTCTGGACTTCCATTTTCCTTGCGCGTCGAGATCTTGTCGTAGTTTAGACGAGCAAAATGTCGCATGCGGCGGCTGCCTAAAGACATGGGCTTATTTTTTTTCGATATCATAACTCCGGCTGGATGCACAAGGTCATATGCCTTGCCGAGGTATCGGAAACTGCATGCGAAGGACTTCGTACCATAAAACTCCTTCCGTTGTATCGGAACGCCCACCCTTATTGTGAATCGAGTCTCCCGACGCTAGACATCTTGGGAGACAGACATGGTTTGTTGGTACTAAGTGTCTCCGGGATTAGAGTGGAGCGACTGCATTCCTATCAATCCGGAAGCTTAGTTCGGTATGAGGTCGAAGTCAAGTAAGGGGTTGCATGCCAGAATGGACTAGTTTATACAGACTACTTGTCAGGGTTCGGCCGCGTTCGAGACCTCCCTTGTGATGATCTTCCCGGCATGCGTAGTGGCGCAGGGCGGCCGGTATAACTGCTAGAGATATATCAACAACATTCACTACTCGAGATGCAGATTAGTAGGCGACTTGCGGGTATGCGCTAGCCTCACCTAGTAGACGAGACAGGTCTGCCATGTTTGTTTGGAGAGATGACAGCTGGGTCACTCTAGTGATTCGATCAAATAATAGTCGAACCGCAATAATCAGCCGAATAAATCCCTGTTCAATGCTAACCAGGAAACGGATGCTTACAGCGTTTGCTATTAATGTAAACCCTAGCGGCGCGCCAGCAGACCGGCTTCTGAGATTACCTAATGTCATTACGGCGTCTCGCTCGTATCATGCCTTTCTGCCCAACTACAGTACACCGTTCACATACAAGTCTTGTATGCCACCCTCCGTATTCATATTATGCCCTGCAGGACTTCAGTCAGCCGAAGATGAGGCCACAAGCCGCGGCGCGTGAGAACATGGAGTCCGGATCGGCGCAGCCAAGATTTATGGAAACCGCTGTTAGAACAACACATCGGTATGCGGGAGATCTTGAACATTAGTCGCTGAACAATCCCACTAGCACTTCGACAGGAGGTATCACAACTCGTGATCAAGTGCGCTATTCCTGCGATTCCCTTGATGAGCCCATACAGCATGATGGAATGACTATGACCAGTATGACCAACGCCACCAAAGTCAAGGGAAAACGACTTGAGGACTTGTATTACGGCTGTCTTGCTTTTACTGTTACGTTGATGGATGACAAGGCATAGCTGTGCAGGCGTGCCAATTTGCGTTTGCAGGATCGTTCAAGGAGTTGCGCGCCGTCGAACACGGGGCTATTATCTCACCAAGCCGGGACACTGCTGGTCTTCGCAGCAGGTCGTCATACTATTCGTAGAGCGCACCAGATCATTGATATGTCACTTGTGCTATTCAGGCGATTCGCCGTCGGCTTCTCCAACCTTTTCTGGTGGTTTGACAAGCACTCGGCTGCCTTCTCCATATGCATATGCACAGAATACTGCCGCCATCATGATGCATATCTGGGCATATTCAGAATTGCCTCATTTCATCCTGAGAACCCACTTTCTCAATAGTCATCCGACCGACAACTTTGTGGACGTCAGATCCGCAGAGTCACCTCGTCTATTCCATGCTTGCGCACAGGGCTACCAAAGATCTGTCCGTACATCTCACTGAACTATCGCCTAAAGCTTGATCACTGAGCGCGATAGATACGATACCCGGTTCAACCGGAGCGACTCCTTGTCCTACTCCCATCACTGCGACGTCTGACAGGTCTTGCAAATGTAATCAAGCCGACTCCTCAATGCTGTCATCATCCCGGCGCAGAAACTTGCTCCACGAAGTAAGTAGCCTGTAAGTATATTTACGAAATAATCATCATTCCATGCTCAACCTGTTAGTGAAATGCAGGATCGTGCGCAAAGTTGAATTTCTATTGCATAGACCCTGAGCTCCGAGATATGGGGTTCGTGGCCGCCCAGAGTGGAGCGCATTACTTAATCAATACGTGCAATACCGCAAGGAGTCAGTCGTACTTTAGCGCATCGCATTGCTGCTCATCGTGCTTCCCAGCAGGCCCAAGCGGATTTTCATTCTCTTCAATGCGAAGCATGGACTGAGTGACATTGTCTATATGATGCCACAGTCTCTTTACGAACAGCGTCAGTCATGAGTCACTGCCGGGATGAGGTGGGTACCATATGTCCAGTGGGAGGCTATGGAGAGAAATTGGCTATCGGAGGTCACGACGGACACGTGTGGTATTGTGTTCAATTCAAGCGGGAAACAAGCTTGTGGATGATACTCTCGAGCGCCATCCTCAGTGGATGGCCTCATCATCACAGGAGCCAATACACATATATGTTTGTCTATTAGTACGCCACTTCCGCCATCCGACCTTTTCCAAGAAATCTTTGACGCTACGTCTTGCTTCGTCCTCCAAGGATTGCGCTCTTCCAGTCTGGTCGACTGACTCGTCGATGCGAGTATACCTTCGGAGGAAACATTGTCAGTGTGAATGTCGTGTGATGGGGCGGAGGAGGCTTGGATGGGGAAAGCGTATTGTATACCGCTTCCAGTGATCCGATGATGCGTGCTTGGGATACAAGAAGGATGCGTCTCCCCGTTTCCCGTATCTTCTGGCTAGCTAAATAGATATCTTGGGAAGACCGCTACACACTCAAAGATCATGCTCACCGGGCAGTAACCCTTGCTCTTAATCCCGACTTTGTCCTGCGCACTCATGGCTCAATTTCACTTTTTACTCAGCTTCCTCCTGATCCCTCCCTCGGGTACTATCCTACCTTTCTCGATTCGCAGAGCTTTGACAGGCTACGTGCATCGTTTTGGAAGCAGCACTATTCCTTGCTAGGGAAAAAAGCCACTTTTGCCCTTGAACCAGGAGCCACCAGTTCTCGGGTTGCACGAATGTCCTTTATAGCATCTAGTCGATCTTAGAAGCTTATAACCATCTACCTTTCAATATTGATGCCGCTGTCCTCCATATGGCGGAAGCAGTCCTGGTAGAAGATTTCCATAAGGGTTCACTTCACGACAGGTCGATCATCCACATCCCCATATTAACTCATGCATCGAGCGTCCGAGAGTGCGTGCAGATAACGAAATGACGACTGGGGATCTCAATGTGCACGTCTGTCTCCCCGTCTCCGTAACTGACCCCGCAGATCATTACGAGCCTGTCTTCTAAGCTTGGGCTCATCGCAAACTTTGACACATCAGGTCACACCAGATTGAGATCGTACGTAGGTCTCACGTGGTCAATATAGGATGCAAATTACCTATGGTGTTATTCCAAAGCGGAGAGGAGGGATGAGATCAATGTCCTGGGAACGCGCGTATCAGAGACATCTACGTACACAAAATGCGTATCCTCGCAAGAGAGAAGTTACCAATCAGGGGCTGTGCAACACAGACGTAGTCTTTGCAGCTGGTGGCTTGTACATTGTCTGTGTTCAACAAATTCTGGATGTTGCGAATATTTGTATCTCTCAAATAGATTTCGAGCACGGGGAAGATGCGAAAGTAGTAGCGAGAGAAATGTGGCTACACATACATGAACAGGACCCTTGCAATTTAGCTAACGTAGCACAGGATGCTGTGAAGAGATGCCAGGTACGAAGCTCGCGAAATTGATTGATCCCCGACATTCAAGCTGCCATTGATATATGTGACACTACCCTCCCAATCGAATCTACGAAGAAAAGTCGTGCTCGTATTCCTCGTACTCTCTCTTCTCTCGTACAACAACAGAGACAGGGGCCCTAGGATTTGAATGAGTATCCATGTGCAAGATTCAAACGGGAAATAAGCAATAATGAGCCTATTGACTCACAAGAGCCGTCCACTGGCATGAAGGAGGGGAATCTTTGACGAGAGATGCGTTCTCCAAGTAACTGCGGATATGACGTCCATCACCTTACTTAGAGCAACCTCGCATCGGAGGTGGAAGGTGACCTTGCGAAGTAGGGGAAATTGACGGCCGGAGAAGACTTTGTCAATCTGTGCATACGACTCGCTGTCTAAAGCGTCAAATTTAACGTTTACACTAACCCATGCAGTGATCTCGATTTCACGTAAGTTGGGTAGCGAGGCGCGAGGTAAGGCACTTGCTAGCTGCCGCGGGTCGAACTTGGAGTAGGGGGAGAGGCTGACGGACAGGACACACAAGGCTTGAGCTGGCATGAGATCAGGAAGAAGATCGGGGCTTGACTCGGGATCTAGAAAGTGATCGTGAACGCTGCGCTACATTGACAACGAGACTACGCGGTAACATACCATGATTTACCTGAAATTTGTAGCGAGCTGGGGTGAAGTGGAGGGAAGAGAGCGACGGGGCGGCGACAGCCACCAGCCTTGAGCACGCCTCGACAGATCCACTGTAGGTGATATGGCGGAGGAAGGCACCGGCCCTAGTCTCAAGGAGGAAGTCAACGATGTGGGGGCTGTCCGCCAGATTGACTGCACCGAGTCGAAGGAGACTAGGCCCTGGGCTCGGCGCAACGCTTGGCTGCTTGAACTCCACCAATTCACATGTCAGCGAGGTGAGGCGCGGAAGGGCACAGACAAGTCGTCCAAACACCATCGCAGAAGGGAATCTGACCTCGAAGAGATCTAGGGTGGTCACCGACTCGAACGCAACCCTCACATGCAGGAAGACGTGTGTGTGCAGCTGCCCAGCGTCCCAGTCGCAGAAATAGCTGTGAATACTCCTATCACACGAGAGCGTGAGCGTCTCCACTTGGGGCAGCTTCCCTGCCATGCGGACGGCAATCGACCCAAACGTATTGATCTTCTCGTTCACGAAATGCACTCTCTTGATAGCTCCGCATCGCTCTGGGTTTTCTTCCAGTCTTCTGATTAGCCGATAGACCTCTTTCTTGCTTCTCATGAGGACATCAAGCCTCTCCTCCGCACGACGGCGACACTGAGTGTACCACGCTCGACTCACCCTCGCAAGCACTCGCATCTGCGTCCGGCCATTCTTGTACCAGAGGATCTCGTCGGCCGCAAAGTCGATCACCTTCCACCACAGTTCTACCGGAATATCTATCGGTCGCTTAGAGACAATAACTTGCTGCACTCTGACACTTGTTGCTACAAGGGCGGATGAGAATTGTTCCCTGCCACCTACCCATTCATTCTATTCAATCATCGTGTAAGTAACATCTACAACGCACACTCACAGTCTTCGCTTGAGATGATTCCTTCTTCAGCTTGAACTTCTGGCTTTAATGGGACTCCGACGTGTAGTGCACTTGACGGAGGTACAGTCGCTTGTTGAGATATCATGCGGTGGACAGATGGCGGTAGACGAGCGGGGTGGTTTGACTGCCCAATCCTACCACCCTAAGTACACAGTTTATAAGGGCCACTTGGTCGATCTCACACAGCCTTGAAGCTAGTCGCTTAAGCTATGTGCTGGGCAACTCTTGGCCTTTATCAAACTCAATTACACTGAACCCAAATACCATTATGAGAAGCGCATACAGGCACACGTACAGCGAGTGATCCTAACCTTTGTTCCATAATCGTCCCCCTGAACCTGAATATGGCGAGGCGTGGATTTTGCGTGTCGCATAGAGCATTAGCTCAGGTCCCCTAGGCTCGCAGAGAATTTACGATCGAGGATACACATGCATCGCGCTCGTCAACCTGTGTCTAACCGTGTGAAAAGCTTTCAACACCTGTCAAGAAGTGGAATAACAATGCTTCGGTGGCCCGGTACAGCGAATTGCACAGCTTAGAAACCAAGGACGCCCGTGATGCTCGCGGTATTCCCGCCTCGAGTTCACCGTCTCCCAAAGCCTCATCGACGAGATTCGCGCATTGTGAGGGTATAAAATATTCTTCCTGGTACTTTCCGCATCGATCCCTACAAGATCCGCATATATGAACTGGGACGGAAGTTCCAGGCACGTAAAGACACGCCCGAAAGGGACACTGTCAGGAGACGATAAGAAGTTGGTACGAAAGTCGAGGTCGCCAGTTGGATCGCCTTCCACCTAGATGTCTTGCGTTCGGTTTCCACAATCGCTACAGGCTACAGAGTATCAAGGTCTTCAAGGCGGATGGTCTCCCTTCATTGCAGGAAGTATGCAATCAGACACTCTTTGGCAGCCTGGATCATCAAGGGATATTGGGCCAGCTGCGTATGCCATATGGGTTTATGCTCACGCACAAGTATTCGATGGGTACGACAGGGCCGATGGGTTCCGACAATCTCTTGTGTTCGGCCTCGCTGTCATTAGTGTGGAGCAAAGACGTGGCGGTACGCTTATCGCCTGTTCGAATCAGATATGTTGGCTATTGGGAATACGAGGATCGTAGGACGCTTTCCCTCACCTCATACACCGTCCCCTTTACCGCCGTCCATATCGACGTCCTAATCGCAGCGATGGGTACTCAACTCCACCTCTTCAGCGTTCCCAACAGCGACACGTTAAAATAGAGATTCCGCAATCAGGAGCGACCTACAGTGCAAGTTGATAGGTGGATCGCGTCAGTGGAGGACGTTCAGTTCTACACTGTAGATCTCGCTGTTCGCGCCCACCTTGCTTGGAAGTTAGAGAAGGAGATGGGGATGGAATATACAGGCAGCGAAGTTGGCCGTGGACAGAGGACAGCATCAATGCGATAGTTGTACTTCGGCGGCGTACCGACCCTGCCAGAATTGGGAGGTAGAAAGAGGAAGAGAGCCTGATTCTGATGCGTCAGAAGCGTTGGGCGGGTTCCAGAGGTCGGACAATTTCATGCATGCATGAGGTATCGTTCCGAGTCCTACAGCTAGCTGGATCCAGGATACGAAAGCTTTGTTGAGATTTGTGATAGCTTTTGTTATTGAAATAAATCTGAGGCGGCTTGATCTAGAACATTCTGATGATGCCCGTGTCGGCGAACCATCTCAGGTAGCATCACTGCTGTGAGCCAGATACCACAGCGGCTATCGCGCTTGTGCGGAAGAACGGAATGTTAACTAGGCTAGTTCAGCACTTAGATCCCGGCTGTTGCCGTTTTAGGAAGTCACCCGCCCTGTATCGCTTGTCTCCCTCCTTTGACTCAGTCTTCTCCCTGCGGCGGGCACGCGCTGAGTCTCTATTCGCTGCTACCTTCCTTGTGGTCCATGTCTCAAGTTGATCTGATCCTTAAACTTGAGCCTGTTTTCTCTACTCGGTTCTCGTCTGAGAAGCATCTACAGCACGTCCTGAGTTGTTTGCTTGACGAAGAGGTTGTAGCTCGTCCATTTGCGCGTGGTCCGATATTCTATGAGGCGTTTCTATCCAAGAATGCAGCCTTGCTATCCAGTGCGCCGCGTATTGGTCCTATGGAGCTGGTCACTAGGTCGCAGTCGATTTTATCGGGCGTACCAGCTTTTCTCTCTTGACGATGGTGATTGCATTTGCCGTCTGGATCGACCGCTATGAACAATCGTTACCCTTATGCTACTGGAGCCGTGATGATTCTTCTGCAGTTATTTGTGCGGTGGACACGAATCTATTCAAGTGCATACTAACAGATTTATGTGCCTCAAGATAGTTGGGCTACCCCTGATCTTCCCACTCAGTCTCCTGCCCCCAAATGCCCCTCTCAGATGGCATCATGCAAGTCTAGCTCAATTCCAAGTGGTTACCCGCCTACTGTGATGCTCGCACGTATAACGGTCGGCTTCTGTCCATTCTCCGCTCCTTCGCGCTGTTCAGCATTTGGGTCCATTGTCTCTGCACGCGCTTACATTCCTATTCGCCTTCTGTGTCTTTCCAGGAATCACACAAGGTTTTTCCCTTTCCATTCCGCCCACTCTGCTTGGTCTCTGCCAGGGAATATCAACGATATATCGTACAATTCGCATGAAAATCCACGTGGTCAAAAACAGGCCCTAGGCCCTTTTTAAGTTCGCCGCGTCCAGATTGATGATCCTGTGCTGGTTTCCTCACTTTGGACAGCAATTTGCTGAGCAAGAGCTTCCCTTCTAGTCACACGCTTAATATATACTCTTTGACTTTTACTTTCCTTTGATGAACGACCGAAATGATGCACCCAAACACACGGAAAGACATACGCACAGCTCTATACGTCAGGGCAGCGTGCAACTTGCCCGCATGTACTGCTGAGCTTGTACACTTTGTCCACGTCGTTGTCCACATCTTCGTCGCATTCATGCAATCAGCTTCAAACTATTGAAGCGCTCAATACCGTAGCTATTCATTGTCAAAAACAACAGACACGGATGACCTAGGGTTCAAGTAAGTATTATGAAGTGCAAATTCGAATCAAGAGACTATCGGCAACGATACCGTTCACTCACAAAAGTCGTCCGCTGGCATGGAGGAGTGGAAGCTTCGACGAAAGATGTATGCGCCAGGAGACCTCGGACGTCACGTCCATCGCTTTACCGGGAGCAACACGGCATCGGAGGTGTAAAGTGACCTTTCGAAGGGTGGGAAATCTACGCCCAGAGAGGACTCGGTCGATCTGCGTATAAGAGTCATTGTCAGAATCATCAACTTTTATGCTGTCATCTGATTGCAGTGCAGTAATCCCGATCTCGTCTAAGCTGGGTAGAGAGGCGCGAGGCAAGGTGGCTACTAGCTGACGCGGGTCGAAGGCGGGGAAGAGGTCGATTGACAAGATGCGCAAGTTTTGAGCCAGCGTGAGATTTGGAAGAAGGCCTGTGCCTGAAGGAAAAGAGCGTCCATGAAGATTGTGTTGCATTGACCACAAAGACACTCGACAACGCACCATCATATTTTCCAGGACTATAGTCAGTCGGGCTGATGTGGAGGGAGGAAAGGGACGGAGCGGCGGTAACAACGAGCGACGACCATGCCTCGACAGGTCCACAGACGGTGACATAACGAAGAGAGGTGCCGGCCCCGGTCGTGACGAGGAAGTCGATGACGCCAGGGCTGCTATTCAGATCGACCGTGCGAAGGAGGCAGGGACCTGTTGCTCGCACAATGCCTCGCTTCTTGAAGAGCACATATTCGCATGTCAGCGAGGCGAGGCGCGGAAGGGCAGAGAGCAGTCTCCCAAACACTGCCGCAGAAGGGAAAGAGATTCCAAAGAGATGGAGGGTGGTCACAGACTCAAATGCAACCCTCACATGAAGGAAACCGTGCGCGTGCAGCTGTCCAGGGTCCCACTCGCACCATGGCCACATACCATGATTACCACAGTAGAGCCTCTCTACATGAACCAGCTTCCCTGCCATGCGGACGGCAAATGACCCAAAGTTATTGATCTTGTGATTCACAAAATGCACCCTCTTGATGACGCTGTATCGCTCTGGGTGCTCGTCCAGTCTCTTGATCAGTTGATGCACTTCCGTCTTGTTCCTCTCGATGATATCCAGTCTCTCCTCCGCACGAAGACGGCACCGAGTACACCACGCCCGACTCACCCTCGCCAACTCCCGCAACTGCGCTCTACCATTCTCGTCGTAGGAAAAGTTGTCCACTGCAAAGTCAATCACCTTCCACCATAGCTCGACTGGAAGCTGGATCGGCTGCTTAGAGACATTGTTTTGCTTCATCCCGGTCGCAGGTGGAACCTGTGGTCCGTGGCCTGTTCGTTTATTCTGTTCGATTAGTATGCACATAGCGTTCGTAGCACGCACTTACCACCATTCGGGACCGTTCTCCTCGAGATTGTCCTGCCCATATCTGAGCCTCTGCTCAGCTCTTTGTCCAAGTGGGATTCTGTCGTGCAGTGGACTGGGTTGAGATATAGGCGTCAAACAAGTAGGTTGATTTAGCGAAACCATATCATGATCCCACCCAGCTTACAAACATTGCTCGATTGGCGTCACATCACTGGAACGTGCTATTTTTTTCGTACGACTACCTCTTTTGTATTTGTTGGATCCATGCACATGAATTCTAACAACATATATACCACATCAAAAAATTCTCTTGCATACAATTTGTTTGAACCAACACGCACCACGCGCACTCTTTGGTGGTGTCACGCGACGACTCGCCGTGACTGCCTCCTAGAGCCTAACCCTAACCCAATCACTGACTACTCACTGTCTAGAGCTTTGAGAGGGCTTTGATGCAGGTTACTGTAGAGGATGGCTTAGAATGAAGCAGGTAAATGACTATAACTAGTCTGGCCCTAACTGGCGCAGACCTACTGGCTTATATACATGCTGGGTAAGCCCTCCTAATACTGTAAGACAAGACCCCTGGTACTTAGGCTAGCTACACTATTGGTTATCTACTACCCCCTGCTGACCATCTTACTAACCGGTGGTGATGATGAATCCCCAAGCCAGAGTCTGACTAAAATATTAGGTGATCTATGGGTCTTGACCACTAAGCGATGCTGAGTAGAACTGCTTAGTGAGCTGTCACCTGGTTGACAACCTTGTCCAAGAACCTTCTAGCTGGTTCTATACTATTCCGTGGGTACTTTGGTGTGCATTTAATCTATATCTTATCTATATCTGAAAGATAGGTGCATGCTTATTCTGGAATATATATAAAAAACTGTGACATTACCCCCTCTTTAAGGGTGAGACTCCTGGCGAACTATTTTCCTGTGGATCCAAATCCACCTGTTCCCCTTCCTGTGGTTTTCTCGATTGTTTTGTATGTGGTGTCACAGTATAGAATTTTCTCAATGATTAACTGAGCAATTTGATCACCTTTGGTTACTGAAAACAAGGTTTCACTGTTGTTAATTAACAATACCTTGATTTCTCCTGTGTAATTGTGGTCTATGACACCAGCTCCTACATCTATTCCCTTGACTGCTAAGCCACTTCTTGATGCTATACGACCATAACATCCCCATGGAATGCTACATTTGAGTCCTGTTTTAACCAATTTTCTGGTCTTTGATGCAATTTCCACTGATTCATATGCCTTGAGATTGAATCCTGCTGATTCTTCTGATCTCTTTCTTGGCAAGAATGTATACATTTTTCCTTGCAATTACTCTTCTACCATGTCAAATATTATTTCTGGTCTACGCCACTGACTGTCCTCATCATAGATGTTTACTGACTGATCAAATAAGATTTTGTCTGTTTGATCATCTATATTTGATATTGGTCTGGGCTTTTACAGATGTCGCTTGTGGAAATTGTTAATCAATTTCTTAACCTTGGTTAAGGCTTTTGGGTACTCCCAGGTGTTGGCTTCTTTGTTGTAGCCTGACCATCTGACCCTATACATGACTCTATTCTTGTCATCTAATCCTGCATCTACAATCTTCCACTTTGTACTTGGTCTCATGTCCTTCCACTTCTACTGGTGGTGGGGGCTGTTGTCACCTGCCTGGAATTTTATCCTCTTGAAAGAGGTGAAGTTGCGACAAGTGGAACACCAGATGTACCCTGTAAGATTTTGGAAGTCTGATCTTAAATGTAACCAGTCCCAATTGTTCTACTATCTCAAACAGTCCGTAGCATCTAGGCAAGAGCTTTCTGTTCTATGACTGTGGTTTCAAATCTGACACATCCAATAGAACTTGATCTCTGACTTTGATCATTACTCTCTCTACTGTTTTGTCATAGTACCACTTCATTCACTCTGCTGTCAATACTAATGCTACTCTGGCTTGTTCTTGTGCTTCTTGCCTATTCTTTATTATATCACTTAAAGCTGGGTGACTGTCAAGGTATCACCCTGATACTTGACTCCACCTCAAACCCTAACCCCTAGTCACTCACTTGTAGTGATAGCTGGTTGATATAGTGTAAGCTTTGGGGGCTTGTAGAACTATAGGAGCTGTTAGGCTCAGAGTAAGAGTGGAGGAAGTTGACGAGGGTAGACGAGTATAAC